TCTCTCCCTCTCTCTCTCTCTCTCCCTCTCTCTCTCTCTCTCTCTCTCTCTCTCTCTCTCTCTCTCTAGATTCAAGTTTCCTGAGGTCCGATTATTATGTAGCGATCGATCGATTCCTACAACATTCACGAGTATAACCCGAGTAATAATATCTTGGAACGCGTTCGTCACCTCGCTAATTAAATAACGCCTTATACATATAATAACAAGATTAAATAGTAGCACTTAGAAAGATTATTCTTATTTAGAATCGTGTACCTTTTCTTTTCCGCGATGGGTCGTTCACACACTCGCGCCTTCCCGAAAAGTTTAATTTCGCGCAGAGGTACGTGAAAAACAGAGAGGGCTCCTATCGACTCCGTTTTCGTTATTTTTGTTTGGCGATGGTCTCGCGAGCGTGGATGGAGGAAAACAACAGGTGCGTTTAATACTGTGCGTAAAAAAGTAATATCGATAATTATCGGAACGAAAGTACGAACAACCCGAACGAACGACCGTCCTCCTTCTCCTCGCTTCCAACGATCGTCCTTTTCTTGTGCGAACGCGATGCGTGTCTCTATCCTCCTGTTGAGATCAAAACCTTCCCGAGGAAACGACATGAACGCCCCTCGGGAACAGGTGTGAACACGCGGCTCAAATACTACCACGATAGTACTCCTTGTATCAGCGAATTCGTCGTGGAAACTACTGGCGCGCGAGAACTATCACCAGAAATGCTTCGTACACTCTCGTTAAATGCTGCTCTGTACACGTCGCGAGAGAAACTTTTCTTTACACGGAAATGGAGAAAAATTGTGGTTAGCAAAAAACACAGGTAACAGCGTAGACTCGACCAATTTCCTACCCGTGGCCGTCGCGCGACTCCTCTTTCCCGGAGGAAGCACACGCGCGATTCCTCCTCGTCGCACGCGAGCGATTTGCACGCGAGCGATATCTGCACGCTGGCAAAATCTGTTCCACGTGGATCCTCCTCGCGAATCCTCAAGTTATTTCACCTCGGGACTAAGTCGTCGATCGCACACAGCTCAATACGTGTTCCCGCTGAGTGATTCTGTCATACTCGTACCCCCTGAAGGGGACAGCGGTAGCTCCCCGCTCTCGTATTTGCTACAGCGACTGCTGTACTCGGCCATCAGGCTCTCCTTCATCTAAAACAACGATGCAGGCGTTCGTATACGCCGTGGCACTTGATCGTTTAAATTAGAATAAACAATTTAACCTTGGCCCTTTCTTCCTCGAGCCTCTGCCGGACCTCCTCGTGCTGGCGCTCGAGCTCGGTCCTCTTCTTCTCGTAGATCTCTTTCAATCGTATACACTCGTGTACACCTTTCTCTACTGTCAAATTTGCAACCTCTCGCTTCATGCGATTCAGTTCGGCTTTGTCTTTGTGTACCTTTGCCAGCTGTTTCACCTGCAAAGTCGGTATACGTCGAAACTTTTACAGAAGAAGATGCTAAATATTACAATCCCAAACTTGGTATATTTATTCATTAACATTCCAAGAATATACCCTAATCTTTTTGCGTCACTGCGACTATTTCGACATCAAAGTTACAGTGGTGATATCATTTCGATGACACTAGAATCGATGTCTTCGAACAGCAATCATGATCTGCTAATTCTAGACACTTACCTCTCCTTGCCTACTGGCCTGAAGCTTCTTCTTCACTTCACTGGTCTCTCGCTCGAAGAGGACTCTGAGGGTCTTCAGCTGGTTCGTCTGCGAGTTCTTCATCACCTTGTCCACGGTAGCGAATAAGCTGTCGTAATACTTCTCCTGGAGTTCCCGCTCCTGTTGCACATGAGCCTTGCACACGGCCAACAAACGCTCGCTCTGACTCCTTGATAATCCCTTGGTTCCTCCATTACCCTCGCGATTTTCTAAATCCGTGCATTCCGAAGTCTCGGCTAGAGCCAAGGTGCTCAGTCCCACCTCGCTGGAGAATCTGCAGAAACAACTGCAGAATCATAAGAATGTTCGTATTTTTTGTACCATTGCATGAGGCTTACATGTTTTTGGTGGACAGTCGCTTCACCAGCTTATGGCTCATGTAGAGCTTCGACTTGTGCTTGTCACCGTCGATGGAGCTCTTCTGCGACTGCACCCGTATCTTCTCCTTCTCGTGTTTCTTCCGGAGAGATTCTAGCTTCTTCTCCAGTTCCATCTTCTTTTCTTTTACCAGCTTGTTTTCCATTAGCTTCTCTAGCGTCTCTGCCATTATCTCTTCTGTGGCTGCAACAGACGCAGTCGACAAAAGATGAGCCATATCGATCAAATGACCGATGTTGTACAACGGTAATTTCATGAGATGCTAGAAGAAACTACCTACCATTGCTTGCGTTTACAGGACTTCTATTGCCAGAACTGTCCACGACCGGAGGTGGAGGCGCCGTAGAACCCTCCTCGTTGTCCTGCATCTCGGTGGTGTTCACAGCGGGAATCGAGGGTCTACCATGGGTATTCGGAGCCGGAGGTTGCACCTCGGGCTTGACCGCCTCCTCCTGTAACAGAGAATTACTATCTCTAAGTATCAATTCGCAACGGTCGACACCCTCTAACCGACAAACTTACAGGTGGTTTAGAGGAGCGTGGTGTCTCTTTAATTTTCGGCGTTTCCTACAAAATGTTAGTACACGGTTGTTAGTGCGTCCGTTAGTACCGGAGTTAGTAAACAAGGATTCCTCGAGTGTTTCAAATCTTACATCGTCTTCCGCCGAAGGCGGATCCTCCGAGCCGTCTGTAAGAACCGACAACTGCTTCTCCCTTTTCTCAACCTCGCTCTGATACTTGATGGGATTCGCCAAAGCTTCAGCTAGCTCGCTTAGACCATGAGGAACATAATCCTTGACGATCACGCGGAGGAACAGGCTCGCCAAAGGCAGCGGCTGACCGCACTCGGTTTTAAGAGACACGTGACGATATCCTGGACATAATCCAACTACTGGTAACACTCTGTGGCCTATAAGGCGACCAGACTCCTCGTATGCGGCGATCCTGATGGAAGCCAGATCCGGAAGGACAACCTGATCGACGACGAACCAAAATTTTATTTTATACATAAACATTTCAAGGATTTATGGTCTTCGAATAATAGTACACGATCGTCGAATAAGGTACATACCTTTTTAAACACGAAAGGGTCTTCGTCGTATACTGGGTTGATACCATTGTTGGGAACGATCTTCGTGCGAAATTTCTTCCTCACAGTGTCTGCTGGCAATCCATACATGTCTACTTCCACGTAGGTGCCCACCCTTTTATCCGTTAAAAACTGAGCGGATATCACATGTATATGAACTGTGCCAGCTATAATACCGTCAACAGTTGACTCAGCGAAAGGATCCAATCGGCAATCCTTCCGCCTCATAAACTCCGGCTTCAAAAGGTAACCGCACCGCTGATTATACTCATAGATACCCAGATTCAATTGCATGGCAAGGTCTGAAAAACAAAATTAAAATTAATAAGTGTTTTTTAAATTATAAAATACAATCGATGAACGTACCGAGCGTTTGATAGTTCAAAGCAACCAGCTGGCAGCCCGCGTTCCAAAACACTTGAGGCATAAAATTGCTGGAATCGAACCGCGTGCCTGCTGGATACACTCTGGACAGCTGGTGTTTATTATAGTTCACGAACTCTAATGGCCGCTCCTTCAGGAGAGTCGTGGCTTGCTTCTCGTCGAACGACGACATCTCGTACATACGATTCTTTTCTGCAAAGTTATATTCGTTTAGCAACCAATTAGAGATACGTAGAAAAAGGATAGTTAAAGTTTGTTGGGCATTATAATTGGAAACGCGGGCGTACTTTCAGCGGACTCGAAGCTGTTGAAGTGAACAGGTTGCACGTAATTAACCAACGCTGAGATTTCGGCCCCAGCCTCTGTCTCTTTGGCACTGGCCGCTTTGTCAGGAGCAGGCACTTTATCGCCTATTCTCAGTTTAATGTCCTCGACGTTTGATTCCTCATCCTCGGTGCTCGACTCTTCTTCGTCTTCTAGAACCGATAAATGTTTCAAACTTCCTGTTCACGTTTCATTTGCACTTTGAACACTGACCGTCCTCGTCCGGGGCACTATCCTTGCTACCCTGTCTTTGCTGAAGCATAGGGGGATGGCCGATATCTCCGTTTCCAATCTGCTCATTGTTCTCGCCTTCGGTATTCGCAGCCTCTATAGCTGGACTATGTTCTCCTTCCGGAAGCTGATTTGTCACACCGTTGTCCTCGTTCTCTTGAGCTCCTTCTTCAGACTCAGAGACCGGCGTCTGTTGCTTCTTTTTATGCTTCTTGTGGTGATGATGGTGCTTCTTCTTGTTCTTGATGATGATCTTGCGTCTCAAGAAACTCGGAGGCGGCAGCTCCATACCGGGCTCCAACTGAACAAGAAACATGTCCGGTGAATCTCGCCATTTAAGATAATGCGTTTGTCACAGTTGTATAGGGAAATACCTTATGAGACTCTAATGGCGCGTCTAGCAACATCTCGCCAAACAATTCTCTACAATACTGAGCTATTTTAGCTTGCTGCCTAGGATTACAGTGATTCTCAAAACTAAGAATGACAGGATACTCTGATGTCTTGAAAGCACTTTCGGCAATCGCTTCGATTACTTCTCGTGCACTGATTTCAGGTACAAATGTATATCTGGAAGGGACATGGTTTCCTTGCAACAACGTGTGGCATACAAATTTACATTAGCCTAAAGATTTTGCTCTTAATTAACGGTACCCATGAACAATGACTGGCTCGTCAAATTTTCCGTTCCAAAAATCTAACTCCACGCATCGACAACCGGCTAGCAGACATTGACGGTATATCTCCACGGAACTCTTTCCTGTCAGTTGATGTCCTGCAATCAGAAACATTCTACTTGCAATACATTAGTAGCAGAGTTATTTAGTTCAGTGTTTATCAAACTCGAAGGAACAACAGTTCCTTCAAGATGTACCACGATCATTAAAGAACCTATTAATAGCCATCAAGTAGATAAGATGTTAATGATGGTCATTAGAAAGTTTTTCGAGAATGTGTACACTGTTATGGGAACGGAGGAAACGCTAATGCAGCTCTTTGGTAAACACTGGCTTAAGGAATGCAAGAGGGGGACGAACCTGTTAAGTATGTATTGTGACTAGAATTTATAAAGTAATGCGCAAGGGGTTGGTCCATGTCGTCCGACAATTCGAGCTTCGATGTGGCAACGATTGGATTATCCTCACTCATCAGATATCTCAGAAAACCGTCGAAGCTCAGCTGGCCCCGGTTCGCATTACACTTATTTGGTTCGTATTGACTTATGATATCCTTGGCCCTTGCCTCGTTTGCATAAGGATATAATATCTCGTTCAAACGTGGGTCCCGTTGCGTTTTGTTCAGAAAGTCGACGAATTGCGACACGGACATTAATCTACGCTTGTTATTGCCTACAATGCTCTCGAATACTTTCTCAACATCTGAGCGTTGAGTGAGCGACTTATAAAAGTTGAAGAAATCCTCGAATTGAAATTTCTGCAATGCTATCACGTCGTTCTAAAAACCAAAACACAAACACATATGGTTTTGAAAAATATTTTATGAAGGTGTATCTGGGATGCTATTCTCGACTAAGTAAATTGTTTAGCACTAACTTTTCCGGATGGGAAACCGGAGATATCGAGCGCCTTCTCGACACGTTTACGGTCGTCCTTATTTTGCGCAAACATTTTTATGATGCTGAAATGACAATATGGAGAGTGTACAGATTTGAATGAATGTACGAATATCAGTTTGAATATGCATAAAACAGAGACAGGCAGACATATAGAAATTGTGCTCACTTCTTCGCAGGTATTTTTTCCGATTTATCGGCTGTTAGCATAAGTTTCGTATGCGCTTTCTGCAAGAACATTGTCGTGCTGGTATTGAGGAGAGTTAAATTGTATGCAAGCTGGAAAATTTGCTCTGTCCAATGCTGCGCGATTTCCGCGCGTGTCGTACAAAAGTTAATAAAATTCATGTTGACGAAGTCGGAGCCGTAACAGATCGTCACCGTCTTCTCCTCTAACGAGTCTTGAGAGCCCACAGTCACGAGCGACTTCAACTTCGGGTCCTGCAAAAACATTTTATTCAGGTCAATGTATGAAATTAGCTTACACGCATCGTGCCGCGTCGGCGACAATAGCTTCACATTACAATAAGCTATTAATGCAACTGTGAAACTGTGCATGAAGCAGCTTTGTGGACTGCGTATTGATTTATAGGAAAATAGAACTGATAAGAGACTTTGCTCTCCTTTCCGACACAACTACGATTATGCCCATTGAGCACGAGTACTGGAAAGACTGAAAAAAGAGTGAACTACATCGAGGACACAAAGTAGGTAATATTCTATTTATAAAATTGCCAATAATTATCGCATGGCGGTGTGACGCATCGTTAGCAGCCACGCAAAAGCACCGTGTAATTATAAAGAACCTGAGGCTGACTTTGAACATTCTCATTCTTATCCGTAGGGTCAAGGAAATGAGTCTCTGAATCCAATATTCGATACCTTTGGTACTTTGGCGTGGTTCCCAGTTCGAGTGTCTCTGATTATAGCAATATCCAGCATCTCCATTTCATTCAGCTGATCTATCCAGTGCAAGTAAAATCCGAACTTGTCCACCCTCAATGTAACAGGGGTGGCTATCCCAGAGTCCTAGACAAAGATACAAATAATTATAACGACTGTCCAAGATACAGCATCATTTTTTCACTCAACAATAATAAATAATACAAGTACCTCGTCCCACTTGACAAACTTCTCCCCGTCCTGCAGCATTTGCGAGACCTCTACAGGTCTGAACTGCAAGACACTGCCCGAAGTCTTGGTGCCAGCCATCCTGACTGCAGATACTGGTAAGCAGACTTGGTAACAAGACCAGCAAGGCAGACTGGCTCAGAGATAAGGAGTTGGGCTGTGCTTTAAGCCAGTTTCAACAATAACAAGCACGATGATAACCACAATGCTGACGACAGCGACGATTGTAACGGAAAGAATGTTGACGGCAACCGAGAACGACACGATGTCACTGGCACGGTGGGCAGCTGCGAGTAGAACGTCGAAGACACCGTCGACGACGACGACGGCGGCGGCGGCGACGACGTTGAACACGGCGACATTATGGAGCATTAGTGAATCAGCTTACCTGGACAGGCGCTGTTGCTCAATGACCCGTGACAAAAGACGCCTCTCGACGACGACGTCGCCGTCACCGCCGTCGCCGCGATACTCGAACGGGTATCGTCTCTCGTGGACGAACTGAGTGTCAGCGGTGTTTTCAGTAAGCATCGACGTCGTTGTCAAAAACCGTCGATAGGTCCAAGCCGACCGAACAGGTTTTGAAAAGAAAAGAACGACCACAGAACGATAGTCGAGCGGCGGACCACTGTCAACGAATCTCGATCTCGACGGAACACCAGAATCTAGAAACGAACACGGTCTCGACCGTTCACATTTGTCGGTGTATAATAACTCGCGATTAGTATGCACCGCGAAAGTTTCGTACTCGCGAACACTCGCGCACTCACTCAGCTCTTGGTCCAGAAAAGCATCGTTCCGCGCGCCCTACCGAAGATCCCGAAGACGATCCAAGCAGATCCGAGAGCACCGCCACCCGTCACCCGTCATCCGTCAACCGTTACTCTCGCCGCCAGGAGGCGCTCACTATGGCGCCCCGAAGTGGCCCCGCCAGCGGACGATCATGCTAGAACGCACTACACGTGCGCCTCGCCGCGCTCAAATTGATTTTAACGCGGCGAACCCTGATATTCAATGAATATCCGCCACTTAACGATCTTCTATTCTGATCGTACGTGCGCTCTCCGAGAATACATCTGCGTTGCTTGCTTTTTTCCAACTTTTATGGCGTTCTAACCCTATAAAAGAGCAAAAAGCAGATTGTTCCACTGTGAACAAACGCAAACTATGTATTGATGCTCGGATACTTTGTTTAGCTGTACTATAATAAAAATCACAGCCAACCCTTAGTCCTTGGATGTTTATTACAAAATTATCCTTGGTACATTTAACTTTCTATTCTATAGACCCTATACCGTGATCTCTTCGGTATTAAAAGATTTTTAACGCTAGAGCTTCAAAGCTACATATTGATTCTGTTTGGTTGCCTGCGCATGGATTAAGGCTATCAAAAAGAGCCGGGTCAAAAATGACCCTGCGGAGGTTCATCGAATCTTAGATCGTTGTCACCTTTCTTGTTTTTATTTTCGCAATCTTTCACGTTGTCTTCTGGTAATTAAGTGTGGAAAAATTTCAGGTCCCGCATAATTTACGCTTCTCTTGCGTGTCAAATAATCTTTACAGTACAGTTAGGGTGTCCTAAAATACACCGGAAGATCGTAGAGAAAGCGACCTTTCGTAATTCTCCGATTTGAATTTCAGAAATCCGGTCAAACTATTATATCACATTCTAATTTTGATCTCGTATAAAAATACCATGTATACACCCTCTACGCAGAAAAAAAACTAATCAACTGCGTCGAGTTCATTAAATCGATCCAATCTTGTTGTCCCGCACCTATTAAACTCGAGTCAATTTGATTTAACGCTCGATGAATAGACGAGCTATTGAGTACTTGACTACACTCGAACGATACCGTGACATCAGAGTTTTTATTTTCAAAACGTTTCTAACAATGTTCGTAATATAGAAGACCTATGCAGTAAGAAAATATCAATGTAATGTTAATATAATAATTATCGTATGATTTTATTCTCAATTACAATTCATGCTCTGCTTTAATGTTATCATTACTTACGGAAACGATTTTCACGATACCTATCCGTAGTTTACAACACGAGTATGTATACTTATTATAATCGAATTGATATTAGAAGCCTTTATAATCTTATGAAAGTCTTATATTTAAGAAAAGTATCAGTCCTTAGAGAAATATGATACAAGTTGAAAACCAACGTGGATATATAACTTCCTTTGCATCTGTAAAGCTTAACAAAAATTCCATTTGGTATTAACAATGTTTAAAATAAATAATAAGCAATCAACTGTGAGTGACCAAAGTAAAAGGTAGAAGTATATAAAAGTGAAATATACTGTTGCTAGTATTGTTAAACTTGTTATGATTCCACGATATCTGCTTCATCTCTATTAATTGGATCTCCTTTCAGTAATGCAATGATCATGCTGAAAAGTGCAAAGAATCACAATGATCGTATGTCTGCTTTTAATGTTGATAAAGAAATGATACTGGATAAGATATACTCACCAGTACAGGTAAATAAAAAAGAATATAAGATAATATCCAAGATAGATCATACAATCTCTTATATGCCTCTTTAATTGGCCATGGTTGTGAATCTCTGTGGGATCATAGACACCCATATTACCTTTGGGAACTCCATAATATTCGTAGAGTAACCATAGTGTCATTGGTAAGTTCACATAGAATAATATAAATTGTCCATGGAGTAACAACATACATTCTAAGAATAAATGTGCTACAAGTTTTGTTACCACCCACTGTAAATATCAATAGTTAAGTTCATTAACTGCTGATAATCACGTATGCATCTCAATTAATGATTCCATTTAAAAATAACAATATAAAAATAATGATTTATTATGAAATAATAAGAATAATAAGAATATAGCAGAATTACCGTGTTCAGCTTTGTACAACACTGACGAGCATTTATATAGTCACATTCTAAGTCCGATAATGTTATGAGCTATAATTAGTATAAGGAAAACGATTAAAAATAGCTGTACAGAGTAATCGAGCTCGTTTGAATATGGCGCCGTTACAAATGTTTCACAAGAAAAAAAATATGGCGAAAATCCCCAGACCGGTCTTTTCTATTAAGATGCGCATAAAACACAAGAATACTGTTTCATAAGAAAATAATTCGATCAAAAGCGATCGGATAGATCACGATTTCAATTATAAAACATAAAAAGGATACGAAATACACCAGGAGAAAAAGTACTGAACCGGTATCGATTAAAGCTAGTACAAACAATAACGGCTCGGATATTAGAACCATTCTGCCGAACAATCAGTATGAGTGAAAGTTCAACCGCATTAGGATGATATCTGATGATTCATAAATATTTTCCTTGTGTATCAGCGCACTCCAAATGCTTTACACGTGAAAATCTTGGTAAACCTAAAAGAAAACTGAATACGACTGATTATCAAAATCAACAAAATGAACAACTCATGAAGCTATCAACCATTGAACTTGGTTTATGAAGTTGGACTATCTTGACGACACAGTGGTGATAACCTAATCTTCTCATAGCAAATATCCCTAGTTACCAGTGATGTCATTCAAACAGAAAAACTCAATGGCTGCGTGTATGTGATACATATGTAAACATACAATGTATGTCGCACGATCGGAAAGATCGCGACGTTGTTAAAGCATGAAATTTCCATAATCGTAACGAATACCGATGAGATGTTTACCTAGCACATAAAGCCTAGTGTTTTATATACAGATATAAATAAATTCCATATGTATATATAATTCTTTCCAGAATTGATACAGAACAAGAGGTAAAGGTATACAAATGTCTGTAAATAAAAGTACGCACTTGTACTTTTTGTTTGCACCAATATTTTCTGCGCGATAATAGAACACATTCTCGTTGTAGAAATGTTTCGAGACACTCCAAAGATTGTTATTGAAGACGGATCTTCTCCATCTGCTTCTTACGTTATGTATGTCAGGATGGAGGATCTTCTAGAAAAGCTCAAGTTGTTGAATTATGATGCAGAGTTTTTACCAGAATTTAAAATAAAAGCCATAAATAGGTAGACAGAGCAGCTACATGTACAAATTCTGACTTTTATATTGCATAAGCCTATAATAATATTATTGTTTTGTGTGTAGGAATTATTTTGTAACACAGACAAACCCAGGAGAACAGTTTTATACGTTTACCTCATTGGCTGCTTGGTTGATTCGAAAGGCTGGTAAAAACTTTGAATCCCCACAAGAATCTGATGATCCTAACTCTACCATCGCATTAATATTGGATTATTTAAGGGAGATTAATATATCAATAGAATTCCCACCTAATAAGCTCAAGCAGGGCAGTGGAGATCATGCTATCTATGTTTTGGATAACTTGGCTGATGAGGCACTGAAAATGCTAAAATTTCAGTGGAGAAAGTATTGATCTCGATTGCATTAACACAAAGAGTTTCAAAAGGATTTCAATTAATGTTTCCTTTAAATTGATACTTCTAGGGTAGAAATACCACCCGACGAACCAAACAATGAACCAGAAATAGAGGATGATGATGCAGAGTTGATACTAGAGAAGGTGGAAGAGGAAATGATGGCTGAGTATGAAGATGAAGAGGAAGATATACTACATGTTGATGATATTACAAAACTTTATGGGCAAAACTTTGTGAGTAAAGCTTAAATAAATTTTCAAACTTTGTACTTAAATAGTTTTAAACGTTTTTCAGAACGACTTTCAGAAACCAGATGATATCTTGCTATCCAAGACTAACAGAGAAGAGTGGCAATTGGAACTGGAAAGGGTTCTGCCCCAGCTAAAAGTAACTGTTAAAACAGGTACAAATTATACAATAACAATTAATCTGAAAAGGAATAAAATAAAACCATGAAAATTCTTTTTCAGACTCAAGAGACTGGCGGTCTCACATAGATCAGATGCAGCAGCTTCGTATAAACATAAGTACTAATCTCACAGGAACAAGGAGTCAATTAGACAAATTGCACAGTGAATTGTCCAACACATTGGACAAGATAAAAACGAGAGAATCATACTTGAATAGGCAGCTAGAACCAATTTTAAAAGAATATCAGACTCTGCAGGAGGAGTTATCCAAGATCAAAGAACAGTATCGCGATGTTAGCGATGGTGTAACCGAAAGAACAAGGATATTCAACAAATTGTCAGAAGAGCTGGAACATGTGAAGAAAGAGATGGACGAGAGAGGATCTAGTATGACTGATGGAAGTGAGTGTATGTCCTGGTTTGAACCATATATACTACTATCTATAAGATATTCATTGTAATTAATTGCTCGCAGCTCCGCTGATAAACATAAAAAAAACAATCACTAAGATGAAGAACGAAATCTCTGAGATGAATGTGCGAATAGGCGTATTGGAGTACAGTCTGATGTGCGCGAGGATACGAGATCGCTCGCAGTTACAGGAAGATATGAATATCACGAACGGAATCGCGATAACTTGAACATTTCTAATTACCGATCACACAATAGAACCGATCGATCATCGCTGAAAATATTTGTTTGTATCACGAGGAATTTCCTTTTTTATCACTTTTGCGTATGTTTCAGGCACAGTCCGTGTTTACTACGACTAACAATAATTGTTAATAAGGGTCCAATTAAACGTTTACCACTTGCATCGTGTTCGCAGGACGTTAACGTACGCACTAACGCGAGCATTTAATTTGCAGAAAGTGTTCGAATATCTGATATATTTTTCACGAAACGAATAAAAATTTCCATTTACCGGGAAACCATCGCGGCGGTACGCATTTTTTTACTGTCGTCTTTCCTGTTGACTTCGCGCATTTAGTGTCGTCATTAAGCAGAGCAGTCCCTTTGAAAGTTCATTCAAGCGGGAGTTCTTCAATTTCTCAATCAGTACTTTCTCCCATGCTCCAGTACACTTCACATGTATAGAGAACGCTAACGGGATCAACCATTTGTCGGATTAATTTTTCATCCGCACATCGTGTCCAGCCAGAACTCCCGTAGAGATCAACGGTGCTGCTCATTAATACAGACAAACTTTCCCTGTCCTGCAAGTATAATTACCATCTACTTAAAGACTAAAAGGCGTGATTCCACGTACATGTCTCTGGCTGCATAAATTATGCAAGATTCAGAAAATATTTGTCTGCAGGATAAGAATTAGGGACTCGGAAGCAACTTACCGTAACATTCCCGAGTTGACTAAACTGATCAAAGGTCCAGTTCCTTCCACACTTATGAATTACCTAGGACAGAAGAACTATTTCCTCCACAGTCGAGGACGCTCTAGCTAGATTGTAGCGCCTTTTAAATAATAATCAACTGCCATGGATTCGGGGAATTATCTTTATCGATTATCTTTCATTCGAAGAGTTATCTGTGCCAGCTAAAACAGCCAGCTCTGACCGGACGTAGTTTTTGGACTTATGCTAATCGACGTTATATGCGGTAGACCATGCCTGGACAGAGCAAGGTATATTAGAAGGAGGAAGACCACGTCTTGACTCGTGTTGGCTATAAGGAAATTTTCTTGAGGTAAAAATCGTGAGGCGATGAATAACGAGATATTCGTGATCTGTCCATTCTACAATTTTTATCATATTTGACCCAAGAAGAGAGCTAAGTACTATTCGACCAAAATCGTAGTAGAGCGCGAACTCCTCGAAGTCTACTTCAGACATCTCAGACTTTTGTCCACACCACTGGATGGATTCCGCGGACTGACTGAGATGTCACTTGTCTATACCTTCGCAGATGAGCATTGGAATTAATACTAACACTAATGTATTTGCCACTGCGAAGGATAGATTCCAGAAGTCCTTTAGCCGCCGAAGCGTTGCTTAGGTCTCACCAGTTGCCGAGGCGGGGTTGTATTCGCACCCTGGATTTAGGGGAGTTGAATAGTAGCGTTTCGATCAACAGACTGGATCGATGCCGGTCAAAGACTGTATCCACACTCATGCCTCCGCCGCTCATTGATCCCTCCTCTTTGCGCAATTTCACGGCCGACGTTTGCTTTAATAAGTCGTGGATGTTCGCGCGGACCAGTCGTCGCGCGAATCTTTCATGTTCACGTTGTCATCGGGACGCGGTTCCCTTTCCCTAGTGAATGCCGATAACGTGCAAGTCTACAACCGGTGGTAGCCAAACGTAACAACCAACAACTGGTGACCCGGTCCTCTCTAAAAACCAGAATTGCCTGACCAGCAAACAGGTTTGTTACGAGACCGATTTACACATTCTGATCCTACCGCAATTGCCCACATGTTCTAAATTTTTCTATTCTTATATCCTTTTCTATTCCTCTCTGTTCATTCTTTTGTTTATCTCTTTTACTAAAACCATCTAATCTCAGATTATGTTTACCATTTTACTACTCTTTAATGAGTTCTGTATAAATCTCTTAGCCGTTTTTAACAGGTACACAATGTCGTAAATTGGATTTTCTGTAAACATGTTTTCCATTTGGTAACCACTGACAAGATTATTGCTAATTTAAAAAAAAATGGTGAATAACACAGTGATTGCTGTTTGCCCAATGTTCTGAAGCTGTAATTAATTAGATATGCTAGAGTCTTCGTTTTTAGAGTATTATAGGCATATGCATGAATCCATGGCTATGGCTAGCTATGGTCGACCAGTTTATCTCGTTTTCCCCCCAATTAGAAAATTAGAAAGAAAGTCCATAGACGTAACGCTTAAGCTAACCAAACCTGATCGTTTGCTCGTACGAATGAAAACTGCTATTCGAAAGTCATTGACTCTTCTATCTTCTCGGCAGAATGCACTTTCTTTATAGTTCGAAGGATTCCACATCTATCTTTCGCTAACTTTCACCCATGCCGTATGAACGATTCCCGTGCGCGTACTCTCAATCGCATTTGCGTGACACACCTATAATTTGTTAATACTTAGTAAATACTTACTAATAATTATCTTGCGGTGGCGACCTTGTATTTATTCTTATCGAACTGTTGTCACGGTTACAGTAGTTCTTCGATGATCGGCCGGTTCGCTCTTGTCGGATTTGCGATACGCGACTCCTTTGCTGGCTTTAAGATTGCAATCTCGGTGTGCACAGATGATAATCTCTTGTTCCTTCTGTTTCCTGCATCTGAAAACAAAAAAACTATTACTACTTGTAAGGCAGGTAAATTGAAAAATTTGAAACGCGTTTAACATGATTCTAGGCCTAAGCGAAACGTTGTTATTTAATTGAAAAAGTCAGCGAACTTCGAATAGCCATTTGCGCGATTTAGTTTGATTAATTTTCATAGTTTCATCTTTCATGTGAATTATTTTGCACAGAGACAAGCCGATATCGAATACTAAAAGGAAGTTAGCTTCCGGCTGAAACAAACATAAATTGTTAGTTTATGGTGGCAAATGATCGAACGAATTCGTGTGTATCGGCGTTATAAATAAATTGAAATGGATGCGCGACACATTCGCGTCCCGACCCCGACTCGACAATCCGGCCCGGCCGTGAGAGATTAATCATTACGTGATACTCATTGATTTGATGAAATCATCGGCACATTTTTTTCATGTCTCGATGTGTAATACAGGCTTGGAAATCGTGTAAGGTTTCAGTAATCAATTCGGACTTTGTTCGAACGCGAATTCACAGGTCTATGAATTTGTAGCGATCGATGAAAAGTGCATATGCAATTGTGCATTCTCCGTATTAATTGCGTATGTAAAGATTCTTTTAATGTTTATATTTTCCTGAATTACATTTACTAATAATTTCTGACAGAAATAAAAGATTATTACTTTTAGGTAGCAAATTGGTCATCGAGTAATCGTGAACTTTGTTCTGCATACTTTGTGCGGTTCGACTACGCTTTCGATTTTAATTCTTTTCCCCGATAAAGAATTAATCAACCGATTTCAGTGGCCAATCTGTCTGAGATTTAGTATTAAAGTCATCAATGATGATAACTTGGGCGCCCATTTTGATATGATCGATTCTTGGTAAATAAAAGAATGCGAAAATAAAAAAAACATCATAATTAGATAAATCTTAATCATCTTAACGATAACCGCATAAAGAGATAAGAGCAACAAATATGTCAATTGGAGGACAAAATTAGGCGATTTGCCGGATGATACTATATCTTTCGATTGTCTTTATCAGTAATAATACAGGAATTCACTGTGTTACGTTTGTTTTCAACGAATTGACACAATTAATATCATTAATCATTCATTTTCTAAATACTTTTGATTTTACAGTTCCTTGATAATATTAATTACTTATTACGGTCAAACTATATTTTTCTGCATATTCTTTAGTCTGCGAATGGCAATAAGAGATATGATATAGATGAAACAATGCTTGAACAATTTTTACAACTATCAGAGTCTAGGAAAAATTATACATACAATTGATAATTGAATGATTACTACACGTTCAAATGGAGATAAACTTCATATTTAAAAGAAATAGTGGATGTTCAAAAGGTTAGATGGTCTGAGCACTGTACTAACGATCAATGTTTTTGCTGTTTAGTCGAATTTTTTAACAATCATCGGCGTCGGAGACAGTATGATTCATTTGCATGAATTGCGATGCTAAATATTGAATCATGATGGTTCAAAAGCCCGCGGTTACGTGGCGTTCGTGTGTGCACCAAGCATGTCTGCATTTTGTCATTAACAACAGCTCATAGGTCAATTTTTCTTTTTTCATTTAAACAAAACAGATTTCTTTCGTTCGCCATTTAACCACGGTAGCGGAGAACATAATTGTATCGCTCACTGTTGTCGTTGTTAATTTAAGATTAGTCCCTATCAACCGGGTGAGACGAGTTAACTCATTATTTGTGCACGCAGTTTCACTTACGAGCTTCTTGCTGTTTTAATGAATTATTCGCGCATCTCTTCTTCATCGTAATGTTTATATTAGCACGAACAATGTTGTACAATGCATTCGCGGTTAGCATGGCGGAACAATTATCATATTAATTTAATATGTATCAAGTCAGGCACTCGGCTCCAGAAAATGAATTCAGAACAAACGATAAACCGGGAAACGTTTGGCATTCACTAAAAATAGTATTATCGTTGACAGATTGTATGGAACTGTTGTAGTAATACGAAAAAAGTATAGTCTGAGAGACAGTGTTATATATGAGCACAAATCATTAAGTATGTGTGTTTTGTTAATACTCACTATGCATAACACAGACATGTATTTAAATACATATACTTCATTTGTTTATTTCCAGATTAATACTAATTGGTAAAATGATACGAGTGTCAACGGTCACCATTGTTACAGTAGCAGTAGGTTTAGGGGTAGGAATAATTGGACTAGTGCTGGGAATACTATGGCCTTCGATTTATTCTTCGCTCATTCATAAGGTAAGCCAGGAATGTTGTTTCTCATGATTCCTAAAATTAAATAAACTCATTTAATAATTAAATAAACATTTCTGCAGCAACTATCTTTGACTCCAACATCTACCAATTATGAACTATGGAAGGTGACTCCAATACCTATGCATTTGAAGCTTTACATGTTCAATCTAACCAATCCTAAAGAATTCCTTATAGGTAAGGAAAACCCCAAGTTCGAGGAGATGGGTCCTTATGTATTCAGGTATCAAATTTATCTTAACATTTTTTATTCCTATTACCGTTTGCTTTATCTGCAACTTTCCTGATTTCTAGGGAAACTGATTACAAGGTAAAGCAGACTTGGAACGAAAATAACACAATAACATATCAAAGAAAAAGAGTATGGCATTTCAATCAGTCTTTATCAACCGGTAGTTTATCCGATAATGTGACTAATATAAACCCTGTGGCTGCTGTACGTATTTCTTTGATTTGCTGCATTTTACAAATATAATTGAATGTGTCGATAAAATGTACATAAGTTTGTTCTTTTCAGAGCGTCGGTTACACTGTGAGATTCTCGTTACCATTTTTCCGGTATGTGGCTGATAAAATCATGAAGATTTTGGGAGAAGAATTAGTAATCACTAAAACAGTCAATGAATTACTCTTCGAAGGTTACACCAGCGAGATGCTAACACTCGCCCGCAAAGTGAACATTACAAAAATACCAATGGATAAATTTGCTTGGTTCTATAAGGTGAGATTTACTATAGCAATTGCTGAACCGTAAATCTGTATATACTTATAATGTGTACAAACATTTCAGTAAGCAAGAAAGGTATTTAATGTCTGCTCCAATATTTTAGAGGAACAATAGTGCATCGTACGATGGAACGTTCAACATGGACACAGGTGAATCCAACATGTTAGATCTTGGTGTTGTCAAGGAATGGAACTATAATAGTCGAGCCAGTTCCTATCCTGGCCAATGTGGAGTAATCAGTGGAACAAACGGAGACCTGTGGCCTCCTTTACCTGACAATGATACCGTTTCCTTCTTTCTATCTGATATTTGCACGTAAGTGCGATTTATCACAGATTTCCTGCTCTAGATAGTAATGTCTAACACATTTGCCAATTATGTGAACAGGAGCATGTCAGCAAAGTATTTCGGTAAAACAGTCCACGAAGATCTACCAGGAGTAACATATATCAGCGACGACACGATTTTTGACAATGGCACAAAAGTACCATCGAGGAAATGCTACTACCAGGGTGAATCCATACCTTCTGGAGCAATGAATATCTCCTCGTGCAAGTGGGGTGCACCAGCCTTCATTAGTTTACCACATTTCTACTTGGCAGACCCTATTTACACGGAAAATATAGATGGGATGAATCCTCAGAAAGAAAAGCACCAACTGTCTATATCCATAGAACCGGTAAATTACCTGAAACAGATGAACTTGTTAATCTCTCTGTGTAAGTTCCCATCTTCATTTATTATCGTTGTTCGTAGAAAACTGGAGTTCCATTAAAAGTTAGCGCGCAAATGCAATTGAATATGATGGTCGATTCCTATGAGAACATGACGTAAGCTATCTTTACCAAAGCATAAATCTTTATTCAACACTAACTCATTCTTGAAGGTCTCTGCCATTGATTTCTGTAATATTTCTTTTTAGGACTTTCCAGAACATGAAGAAGATATTCATACCAATGCTCTGGTTCACACAAGAAGCAAACCTAACTGCTAATTATGCCAGTACAGTCAAGTTCATCATAATTCTGCAGACGTTAGGCAGCGTGACCTGCTTCGGGATCGCCGGTATCGGCATAATAGTCCTTTTTATCGGTATCTTCGTGATTATCAAGAATGGTATGAAGAACGAGGACAACGAACAATTGATCTCGACATCTAGACTTAACGGAGACATGTGATGGCTTGGGACAACCGTCGACTAAGAAAAGATAATCACTGTCGGAGTTTAGATGTATACATGTTTCAATTACCGCTACGTATTACATCCTGTTGTAACTAGAACAGGTGAGCACGTCGTTCGAATTATTTCTAAATGTGCTTTCCGAATAATTGTATAATTTCCGAGTGTCTAATCAAGTGCCTGATCGTCTCAACGAGAGAACGGACGCCGAAATCACGGTGCCGAACCGTGTTTAAGAAACTCCTGTACCTAATTATTGTACATACACAGCTGTGAACATCCCCACACTCTCTCTCCCTAAACACACGGGCGCGCGCGCGCGTGTGCACACACACACACACACAGAGACAGAAATACGCATACACACAATCGCATACACGCGAGCGCGCCTTTTCTAAGCAAACGATAGAAGAAACTTTATCCTTAGTCTCTTTCAAACTATTTTTTTAGAACAAAACGAATACCGAGAATGAGAGAAGGATTAGAACAGCGCTGATTAGTTTCCAATCGGAGCTCCTGTTGATCGTTAACAGAGTTAATATACGTATAATATCGTTGCAACTGTGATAATGTAGACACTTCTTCCAGTATAAATATGATGGAGTATGTTAGCAATAAAAGGATATTAATTTTATAGAACACCGTTGTTAAGAACTATCTTTTTCCTTGAGATGCGATTTTAATTTTAACATCGCCAGCTGTTGAATAATAATTTCATGGAACACCCCTCGTTAAGGAATGCCTTTTCATACAAATGCAGTTTCAACTTTCCAGATGTTAACATCGGCGTCGACTGCATCGTATCTAAAGCGAATTTAATTTAATTTGTCGCTGTCTCTGTGGGCAAAGTAAATTTCCAAGTTTCCCGTTTCGGTCAAATGTTCTTCCCGCTGTAAACACCTTGCAATGAAAGAACTGTGGGAAGTTCAGTGGGGTGGTTTTCCGCCCCTGTGAACCGTTCGTGTCTCGTAAAAATTCAGCCCGAAGACCTCGTAAAAGAAACTTCTCGCTGATCCCCGCGCAGGAAACAACCGTTCCAGACACGTTCTGACCTACATTCGCATTTAGCACCGACGCCGGTCGCTTCATCGCGATATTAAACTACCTAAAGTGTTTGTATTCTCGTCTGCCAGACGCGTTATAGTCCTCGAAGACATGCTTTCGTCGATAGAAATATTTTCGGTCGCAGTGCGATCTCTTGCCGTGAGCAACAGAATTTTTAAGACCTTTCTTCCTGCTATCGGAGGAGTCAAGCTAGAAATTCATGGGGTGAAATCAACCTTTAGATATCATGTTATTTTGTTACTACTTTCTTAAAAAAGGAATGCAGCGATTTTCTGGTGGCTTCTAATCTCACAATAATGTGCATATTATTCGAAATCGACTCTCAGTTTCCACGTTTCCAGCGTTTACATGTTCTTAAAAAAAATACTTCCAACTGTTCCAGTACCTAATACAGAACGAATTGATTCTTTGGTCCTTTTAGAGTAGAATGATATTTTCTGAACGAAATTCCGCGACGATTTCAGTCGCAGTAAAAACACGGCCGCTTAAAAACGCGATCAATAAAATCATCTTAGTTAAATAAACGCAATATTTCGCGGGAATTAGCCGCAGCTAGTCGATTTTCCGTTTTTCCATTGGCTTTCGTAAATAGACGAGTGTGTTATTTTTTGGAAAGTGGACGTTTCCCGGTAGGGAAGGAACAGTAACATCGGAAAAACAACGAACCATTCTGGCCGGTTTCAATTTATTTGCGAGCTGGCTGCCGGTCTTGTGTTCGCGCTAAAACTAGCACACATTAGCCAGGTAGTCGGGCAGTTTGCTTTGATCTCATTAATCATGGGACGCGTGCGACTTCTCCGTAGGACACCGATGCTAGAAAACGATCTAAACACCATCTGCGGAGAAACGATCGATCGCTTGCTGCTTCGTTTGCGTTTATATGTATTTTGTTCGCGGATGTATAATCACGTCCGGCGTTCGTTTCGAGCAAATAAGATCTTTCGGACTACATATACTCTTCCGGCGAAATCGTGTGCGACCGCATTTCGAACGACTTGATAGTTAAAATATAGTTGCAAATTGCTAGCATATAGTTTATATAGCATATAAAGTCGCGTGATCTGTTTGGAGGAGGGTGGAACGGTTTTTGCCTCGGAAGAATCGTCGAGATCGACTCGTAGAAAGTTTATCAGCGGATTTGATAAATGAACATGGAAGATGACGCGGTCAGAAATCTCTGCACCCACGTATGAACTTTCATGGGAGAGAAAAAACGTAACCGGCGTGAAAGGTATTCTCCGGAGGAATTTAATACTCCCCGATGGAGGTCGTTTATTTTCTCTAGATTTCGATCGTCTCTACGGTTACGACAGATTGCGCGAGCTTTAGATTTTCTCGGAGACGTAAAACTCTTCGAGAAGATCGCCATACTTGGACGATTCGCTCGATGACCGAATAGTGTCTTTTCTCGCGTAGAAAAAAAATGTCGACGTGGTACAAAGAATGACCTCCTTTGAAATAGTTTGGCAAAAAACTCGGTTCGAGATCGTCGGGGACTGCTCGTAAAAGAATGAGATTGAATTTCAATCTAGGAACGGCGATTTTATCGTCGCGGGAAAACGTGCCTCGCGACGAATAACTCGTGAACTTACAGTGTGGGAGCACCGAATGCAAAAACAAAGGAGACACTTTGTATTGCTGTTCAGATGTGTAATCTGCTTCCTTCTATAGAATCGCGTCGCTTAACCCTCGCGAATCAGTTCTAGGTCAGCTTCGATACTTTAGTATCTCGCGAGAATTTCGAGGGATAGTGAAATACGAAGTCCCCCGGATTTTTATACGGCTCTAGTTCTATTTTGTCAAATAAAACTCTGCTGCACATTTGAGATATTGTCTATAAAGTTCAGGTTTTACGCTCGATCTTCTGCCTGTTTTACTATCGAAGGATGCAGGTTGTAGTTGAAGCAATTTACGTGGTCCCTCATTCTGCTTCAAAATGATTCACCGTGACCCTCGAATAGAAATTTCCGAGCTGTATAAATTGAATATTACAAAATATATCAAACGAATTTTAATTAATCTAATCAATATTGCTATAGATGGTGCTTATTGAATTAATTCTAATTAATAATCGATGCAATTTATAGTTCCAGCAAACCCTCGGTTCCTTTCGCAATGATTTAAAATGTTCTACGATTAAAAATATACAATCTATAGAAAATAAACACCAGACAATGTTCCGAATTAATTATTTAACGAAACAAAAATTATCTCACCGGTTCAACTCCGTCTTCATCTATGTAAACAGCATCGACGTGATTCGCGAAACTTGGAAAACAGTCAGTGTGTTTGCGACCGACGTGCGTGCTGCACCTACGCGCTCGTTAAACCGGCGTGTACACCTCAGTTTCGCAGAGTCCGTCGACGCGTTCGCATCCCTTTCGAAACCCGACGTAGCACGTCGACGCGACGGTGCTGAATTCGCTCCCGCAGTGTGTCCTCTGTGTTGTCCCTTTACGAATTTCGCCTTCGCGCGACCAGAAAATCCTAAAAGATTGTTCACCGTTTCCGAAAAAAACGTTTCCTGCGATGTTACAAATCCTGTTAGCTTGGGAAGCTAACGATAAGAAGTCGACGTGAAGAAACGGTGGCAAAGAAGCTTGGGAAATTGATCGCCTGGCCTTTGAAATCCTGCAACGAATAAATGTGTGTGGGTGAAAAGTTTGCAGAGAGGACTTCTCTAGAGTATCTTAGAATGATTTAGTTTTCTTTGCGAGTTCGAGAGAGAGAGAGAGAGAGAGAGAGAGAGAGAGAGAGAGAGAGAAGTTGGATAAATGATTATNGATAGTTAAAATATAGTTGCAAATTGCTAGCATATAGTTTATATAGCATATAAAGTCGCGTGATCTGTTTGGAGGAGGGTGGAACGGTTTTTGCCTCGGAAGAATCGTCGAGATCGACTCGTAGAAAGTTTATCAGCGGATTTGATAAATGAACATGGAAGATGACGCGGTCAGAAATCTCTGCACCCACGTATGAACTTTCATGGGAGAGAAAAAACGTAACCGGCGTGAAAGGTATTCTCCGGAGGAATTTAATACTCCCCGATGGAGGTCGTTTATTTTCTCTAGATTTCGATCGTCTCTACGGTTACGACAGATTGCGCGAGCTTTAGATTTTCTCGGAGACGTAAAACTCTTCGAGAAGATCGCCATACTTGGACGATTCGCTCGATGACCGAATAGTGTCTTTTCTCGCGTAGAAAAAAAATGTCGACGTGGTACAAAGAATGACCTCCTTTGAAATAGTTTGGCAAAAAACTCGGTTCGAGATCGTCGGGGACTGCTCGTAAAAGAATGAGATTGAATTTCAATCTAGGAACGGCGATTTTATCGTCGCGGGAAAACGTGCCTCGCGACGAATAACTCGTGAACTTACAGTGTGGGAGCACCGAATGCAAAAACAAAGGAGACACTTTGTATTGCTGTTCAGATGTGTAATCTGCTTCCTTCTATAGAATCGCGTCGCTTAACCCTCGCGAATCAGTTCTAGGTCAGCTTCGATACTTTAGTATCTCGCGAGAATTTCGAGGGATAGTGAAATACGAAGTCCCCCGGATTTTTATACGGCTCTAGTTCTATTTTGTCAAATAAAACTCTGCTGCACATTTGAGATATTGTCTATAAAGTTCAGGTTTTACGCTCGATCTTCTGCCTGTTTTACTATCGAAGGATGCAGGTTGTAGTTGAAGCAATTTACGTGGTCCCTCATTCTGCTTCAAAATGATTCACCGTGACCCTCGAATAGAAATTTCCGAGCTGTATAAATTGAATATTACAAAATATATCAAACGAATTTTAATTAATCTAATCAATATTGCTATAGATGGTGCTTATTGAATTAATTCTAATTAATAATCGATGCAATTTATAGTTCCAGCAAACCCTCGGTTCCTTTCGCAATGATTTAAAATGTTCTACGATTAAAAATATACAATCTATAGAAAATAAACACCAGACAATGTTCCGAATTAATTATTTAACGAAACAAAAATTATCTCACCGGTTCAACTCCGTCTTCATCTATGTAAACAGCATCGACGTGATTCGCGAAACTTGGAAAACAGTCAGTGTGTTTGCGACCGACGTGCGTGCTGCACCTACGCGCTCGTTAAACCGGCGTGTACACCTCAGTTTCGCAGAGTCCGTCGACGCGTTCGCATCCCTTTCGAAACCCGACGTAGCACGTCGACGCGACGGTGCTGAATTCGCTCCCGCAGTGTGTCCTCTGTGTTGTCCCTTTACGAATTTCGCCTTCGCGCGACCAGAAAATCCTAAAAGATTGTTCACCGTTTCCGAAAAAAACGTTTCCTGCGATGTTACAAATCCTGTTAGCTTGGGAAGCTAACGATAAGAAGTCGACGTGAAGAAACGGTGGCAAAGAAGCTTGGGAAATTGATCGCCTGGCCTTTGAAATCCTGCAACGAATAAATGTGTGTGGGTGAAAAGTTTGCAGAGAGGACTTCTCTAGAGTATCTTAGAATGATTTAGTTTTCTTTGCGAGTTCGAGAGAGAGAGAGAGAGAGAGAGAGAGAGAGAGAGAGAGAGAGAAGTTGGATAAATGATTATTCCGTTGAATTTTTGGGAGGTTGGTTTCGACGATTGGAATTAGAACATCAGGGACCTAAATGTGGGCAATGTGACACGCTCGTTATAAAATGTTTCTCATCTCGTTAGGCAACCGACGATGCTTGTACACGCATTGCCGCCTGACGCGTTTTAGCACAGAGGAGGAACTGTTTTTCGGAAGCAACGGCGTGATTTAGCCCTCGTTATAAAATTCGAAAACTTCTAGACGAATTTACTCGGCTCGTTAAGAGGCTACAAAGGGTACACGCAATTAATTTATAATGAACTCAAAAGGGAACAGAAGACAATCATAACAGCATTATTCCCGTGTCTAGCAATAAGAAAGCTTCCTTACCGGACACTCTTCCTTCTCGATTTCTTTAGTTACACGCTCACGAACCACTTCCTTGGTCCGAAGGGATATCAGGATTCTCTGCTCGTGGAATCTGTGCATCGTCAGAAAAGTTTGCCACTTGGTCGACGACGTAAAGATCCGTTGTTCTGTGTTCCGTACTGGAGGATCCTCCGTAAGACGCGTATCTGCAAGAAATGTCAGTGCCCGATTTACTCTTGCCCGTATCGACAATTTACTCTTAGATAGTTGCTCCATTGGGGAAGTTATTCACCCCTCGCATAATTAAAACACTATCCGTACCTGTTGGTTATCGCTGAACTCATGAACTCGCATCCCAGAAGCCGCTGAAAATAAAAGTGGCCGACCATCCGAGTTTTCTTCAGAGACTTTTAAGTGAATTTTCCAGTCTTTGGAATTCGTTCCCACCTGAGGATATTCGTCGATTTTCATGTATCCGGCTATGGAGGATGTAATGAAATTTTTAGTAACTTTTCTGCTACTTACTATGGCCTAGAATAATTTTTCATTAAATAATTAATGAAAATTGCTTTGCGAGCAATTAACAGATTCGTCGCGCTCCTTGCACGCGAAAATCTGGTGAACGTTGTCGTGGGTTTAATGAAAAACCTCAATTATTCTATTAATCTTGTGCGTTTTTTCTGCCACGACCGCGTTGTCGATGACACACGGCCGGCCAGACCTCGACCAATTAATCAAAAAGTTGTCAGACCGTTTTCCCGCGTTTCTATCGCACCGAAGCGTCCTCGATTGTGCATCCGTGATGTCGTAAAATAAAACAGCTCGCATATTATCGCTCTCAAGAAGGAAAAAGGTAGTCTGTCCGAAACATGTTCTTCAGCACCTATGCCTGCATGGGTACCCAGGTAACGATTGCTCCAACGTACAATTTTCGATACAGAGCTCGGAATAACGCCTGGAGCCGAAATCCATCGGAAATATGGCCGACCTTATTTTCCCTCATGGTTCGGAAACATCAGAAATATTCCATCTAGTCCCCTACCCTCGCGTCTCTTGGGCGTGATTTCATCTATTTCACGTCTCCATGCCACAAATCGGACATTGTTTTCCTGCCACGAAATAATCCTTCTTAGAACAGTTCGAAAAGGAAACTTTGAGCAATTGAAGTACCATGTTATCTAAAGGGCGCATGAATTCTCTTCTTTATAAATTCTATCTTCTATTCTCCCTCTGCCCGCAAATCTCGCTGCCTGCAAATCTATTCACAGCACCTTCCCAATATTTTCCTCCGAGCGCTCATATTCTCCCTCCTACTGATTTTATGTTCCTTTCGTATCTTACGTTTCGTTTTATCTTCGCCGTTCAGAATTGTTACTCTCTTTTCCTTTCCTTTCCAAAGGCACAATCTGAAAGAAATAACGACAGATAGGGGACGAGGTTATTCAGTTCTAGGGGACAAGATCATTTCATTCGCTGAGAAAAGATTGTCTCGTTCTAGGGGACAATGAAAATGTAAATCTCCGTCGACATCAAACGGTGAATGATTTTTCCGGGAGAGATGCGACAGGATGAATTAATTAATCCCATTACGGAGACGGTTAAGTAAACTTCGCGGTAACTTCACCGGTAATAACTCGTGTTAACTGGTGGTCGGTACAATTAAAATTGGAATGATCCCTGAACGATGAGCGTTTAAAGCAAACGTGATCGTGGGAGTACGAGCCAGCTTCGGACTCCTCAATTTCCGGAGGATCTCTGAAGAGGTTGGAGAGGTTCGATCCTCCTGACAGGATATTTCTAGGTCTGCCTGAAGGCACCGGAAGTCGAAGTTTTGAAGGTTTGCAGTCGTCGTAGAGCGATTCGTCGCGACTCGCCGCTAGCTCGAAAATAAACCAGAGTCGCCTGCTTCTAATATTAACTTCCTCTGTAAAATCTGTTTTGCCGGTTCTGCGCCGACCTTGCAATCGAGTTCCGCCCCAAACTCAGTTTCCGAAACAAACAGTCCAAAGGAGAGCGAAATCGTCCGACAAAAAGTCTGATTAAACTCAGAAATTAAATGGCTCTATGAACAAACCAGCTACTTTCGGTTTTAGCTCTGCTCTTGTCGACTCGTGTCATGTTCCTGCAATCTGACAGAAGGAGATTGAATTTAAACGATGATCTAGATAGATATACAATCCAATTTTTGCAAGAGTTAGAAACTATAAATGTTGCAGGTGCATCTTGCTCATTCTCGTAGCAAAAAACCGGAAGCGAAAGTTTTTCGGGGTATTCTAGAGCGAATTTATCGCAGCAGACGGTTGAGGAAGATTTCATGGGCGAGGGTGGCAGATGAAGAGGGCGAACTCGACCTAAATCGCGAATAATTCCTTAGACAGCCGGTGACCGGACCAGCCAGTTGTCAGAAGAAGTTCGTTAGCCGCGACACTTGGGAAATCATGGCGCAAAAACTTTTTCCCCGAATTTTGGCTTCGTTTTGCCGTTGTTCCGTCGTCTTTGTCGCAAGAAAATTGCCACCACAAGTAGTGCTAAATTGTGCGAGGCGAAGGCTGACGAGGTTCTTTGAAAATCGAGTTTCATTGCAAAATTGATGACGACAGAGTATCTTTAAAGTAACCATAGAATTTTCCGCAGTACCTATTTCTGAGAAATAAAACTAATCAAAGAAGAGTAGTTTCTGCCGAAGGAAAGCAAATACATGTTTAAAAATCATCAGTCTTGACATGTGAATCTAAAATTCCAGCAAGAGTGACTAATTCATAATATCTAGCTCATAACTTAATAAAATTCCTGAATTTTCGATGCTAACATTGACCAACGGGAAACAGGATATTTGTGGGAACTCGATTCTTTCACTCAATCACATAAATGTCGTGCTACCTAGTCCCGTAGTCCCTTGTTGTATTACTCTTTCTACTTCCTACGCAATGATATCGCACAGCACGTGCTTAGGAAGGAGACTATAGACTAGAGAAAAGTTATCCGAGAAACTCTATAAAGAAGATTAGGATTAATTTCCGGAATAAACGTTTCGAATGCCCTTATCGCCGGCTAAGATCTCTGAGCTAATCTCCGTGAAATCGGTTATTTTCGGCTAACAGGACGAAGCCCGACGACTCGGAGACACTTGTCGGGCAATGGCTTTTTCGTCGTCGACCAACAAAGAGGAATTACCATTAATGCTTTAACAATTGTCGAGAAGTGAAAAAACAGCATCGAGATAACTTTTTCGTGGAGTGCATTCTCCTGAACGTTTCGAGGCCGTTTTACAAAAATTGTGGTGTCATAATGGCGACCCGGGGCGCGAGAGGGTTGTGAGAACAGATATCTTTAATTACAATGACTATGTTAATTAAAACGGCCGGTATCGAGCCGCTGATAGCCGGCTGGCTGGTGTCAGTGGTCTCGACACTGGTTCAGGCCGCTGACTACGACGATGACTATTCGTCGATGGATTACACCGATCCAGAAACATACAACAACGCAACAAACTGCAGCAACGTCTACTGCATTTCGAACGAGGAATACGTGGACCGCATGATGAACTACATATTCCCGAAATTCTGGGACTGGGCGCTGATCGCTTCCCACACGGTGATCTTCGTGATCGGCCTGGTCGGAAACGCGCTCGTCTGCATTGCCGTCTACAGGAATCACTCGATGAGGACCGTCACCAACTACTTCATCGTTAACCTCGCTATCGCCGACTTCCTGGTGCTGTTGCTCTGTCTGCCGTTCACTGTGCTCTGGGACGTCACCGAGACATGGTTCTTAGGACTCACTCTTTGCAAGGCTGTCCCCTACCTTCAGGTAAGACGAGACCTGCAACAGGATTTGATTAAGCTATGTTCGACACGCGAGAGTAATTGAAAAGAACGCGAGTATACCAGACACGCTCTCACGTCGGTGATTTGTCACCCTGAAACGCCACTTCCGGTTACGATACGTGGGTGTAAGGTCGCCTTTGATCCCCCGTGATCTAACGTAGTCTTAACCCTTCGTCGAGCGATCTTTCTTGCAGATTATGATGCTACGTCTTCGTCAGGCGCTCCGTAAATTGAGAACGGTGATTAATTGCATTTTTTGTGTCCAACGATTGTTGGTTTAGGACATGCAAGGTGTGTGACGTGTTTGAATATGTGGACAGCTCCAAGAAGATTTTGGAACCTGCAGATAAATTGTATACATATTGAACTGACTTGAAAAAACATATTAAACTGTTCAAAATAGCGTAGAGATCCCTAACAATTTTTTAGAACCAGCAACAAAATCGTACACCCTATGGAAAACATTTAGAATTATTTCAAATAGTGTAAAGACCTTCCAGGAAAGTTATTATTCTTACGAGTGATGTATAGAACTGTTTGAAATAGCGTACGGATTCTTAGAAAAATGTTGAGATCATCGGAAAAATTGTGAAACCAAAATGGGAAAAATGATAAAAATTGTTCATAGTAATGTAGGGGTCTTAAAAAAATTTCGAAGACCTTACAAAAAGATTGTAGAGAATCTAGCAATATGTACTTAGTGAGAAAGTCCTAAGTAGGGGGTGATTTAATGAAGTTCCCAGAACTTGTCCACCGAATACATGTATAGTTTTTAGCAACGGTAATTAAAACACGGCTGTATCAGATTGTTCCCAGGATGCACCGATGTGCTCTAACTGCATAAATCTAGCAGTTCTGACTGTATTTATGTTCATCGCGTAGTCGGTATCGTGTTTACCATCGTTAAATGTCTCGAAAAAAATAACACGAATCGTTCTTCTCTTCAAATTTACATCTGTAAAATACAAGTCGGTCATTCTACATCGCTCTATTTAATTGTTCAAAGCTTAATTGTTCTTGCCACAAATACTACGCGTGTGAGTGATATTTAATTTCATTCTCCAATAATTTTGCGGGCAATTTTCGTACTCGATCATATTCTGATTAAATAACTGTAAAGTGGAATAATCGACGAAGCATCCACTTAATTTGCATTTAGAGTTGACTACTGGAGGCGTCGGTGCAAAGTTGGCAGCCAACAGCCTCGCGTTTACAAAAATTACGTACTAGGTATGTCTTGATGGCCATACCCCGCCAGCACGCCTTACAGGACGTACCGACGCGCCATTAAAGTAGCGAGCACCCTTTTTAAGCACCCTGTATCACTGCCAGGCCTTTAGTAACCTTGGTAGACAAACATTGACAGCGAGAACAGTTCTCACCACTAAGACATCTACCGTACAATAGACGAACTAATTTGCGCGTACAGAAAAGTGGGAGATACGCGGGATTTTATCTGTTGATTTAAAATAAACAGATAACGAGGTCCATAGATATTCACGAAAAAGTGCTTCTCGGTAACTTAAGTGAGTTTTAAAGAGAATTTATCATCCTGGATAATCGACGATATCGTTCAGAATCGTTTGGCGGCTTGTCACGCTCGATGAGACATTTTAATTGCGAATTTTCCATGGAGACGATGTTAGCCGATAATTCGATTCATGATCAGGCTTCTGCCAATCGCTGACGAGTCGAGAAAATTTCGGAGCTGGCACGGTATTGGTTGTCCCTTTGGAGTGGAGAGCCGTCGCGAGGGTGGCCAACCACCCCCGTATCGGTATATTTTAATCCGCTTAATTAAAACTTGAATAAAGATATTTGTGTCCTCGGATATGATTCCCATTATCTCGAAATAGGTCCGAGGTCCTCGTTGGGAGCTTACACAGAGAATACGAATGATTCGGTGATTAAAAGGAAAACTAATCCTCGAGAAATATTAAACCAGGCAGCCACTTCCGCGTCGTTGTCGCGATGTCTCTAGTTTTATCGGCTCGCTGTTCATCAAATAGTAACACTTCCAGCTAATAACGGACTTTACGAATTATTAACTAAGCGTTTCTAGACATTTATTACTCCCCGGCAGCTTTTTCACGACGGCCACCCTCTTGGGAGGGTGGAATCACACCGGAAAACTGAAGCTCACTTTCATTCTCTCTTTTCCTCGTCAAATATAAATCTGCTTCAAGCATGTTTAATTTCATAATCCTGGTATTATCTTCTTATGAACCTTACAATTTTTTCATCAACTTCATAATTTTTAATGAGTCTTGCTGAGTCCCAGTGGCTGTAACAAGTTTTCCGCAGCCTTTATGATTTTTCTGAAGATACTGCAGTTTTCTCAGCAGCTTTACAATTTCTCAATAGATTGTATAATATTTTCTGCGTGTCTTAGAGCTTGTTCACAGTAACCCTCGGTGAAACGATCCAACGGGTTTCAAGGCGTGCAGTGTTCGAAAGAAAAGGAACGTTGAGGTCTAAATGAAATTCCGCGTAGCTCGGTGGAAAGTACCGATTTTCATCGCGACGACCGTCGAGCAACCGGGTGGAATAAACACTGCGATGGCGGCCGTGTCGCAGGAACAAGCGAACTCCGTAATTCGGTATTAGCTCGCTCGGCGGATCGAAACGGGAATCCCACGTAGAACCGGCGTATTTATTCTATTATCTGTGTTGCATCTCTTGTCCGAGAGCACGAGGGTCGGCTTGACACCGCTCTGCTTAGAATTGTTCCATCGTAGATCTTCGCCTGGGAAAAAGGAAAAAAAATTAAACACTGATAACAGAAAAATAATTCATCGAAGTTACACTAAAATCCAACAACCGTCGTAAGGGTTAAACTCTGTATTAACGATCCGGTGTAGTGCAGGATGAAGTTATTACGTTCTGATAACTAGTAGCAAAGTACAAGGTTCAAGATGCATCGTCATTACGCTGGTATTGCGTCCGAGTGTTTTACGCGTTATCGATTACTCCTTCTGTTGGCTTAGGATTGACGACGTCGTCGTGACGTTGGACCATATACATTTCTTTTTTCGTGACGTTGGACCATATACATTTCTTTTTTCGTGACGTTCTCGTTGTATATTTAACTAGATTTCACGAAGATTTACGGCAATTATGGTAAACGACCGAGATGCAGATCGAAGACCTTCCTAGATGGAATTTAATAAAATCATGAACCGGGCGTGTATAATACGATACTACAAAGACCGTATCCCGTGTCGGAGTCCAGGGCATGTAACACAAACTTGTTTTATAACCTATTGTTAGGGTATTGTTTCAGGCTTTGGCATCCGGCGTGCGAAGAGTCGCGGCAGAATGCGCGCCGGAATCTATAGCTGCGGCTAATCATTGTCATCCGTATCACACTCCGTTAACGAAGCGCATTTGTTCTCGTTAGAACTCAGCGGAAACAAAGCCACGCACAGCATCGTCTTAAAGCCGTTCCAAATATGACACTGAACCGTTTGACAAACGCGATCTTTATAAAAAAAAAGCTTTTCCTACAGAACCATTAGAAGAGGGTTCAAATCGTTCCATAAAAACAGTTTCCCCATGATTTGCGAAAATCCCTGGAAAGCCTGGGAGTTCCATTAGCTCTACCAACAGAGAGGATTCTGCAGCGAGACGAGAGCCGAAATACCAACGCAAACCGATAACGAGGAAACTGTTGGAAGATAATTAACGGAGGTCAAGATACGATTTCCGGATAATCGTGCGACACTTGGAAACACGAGGATGCATGTGCTTGAAACGATCTAGAGTCGCGATCGGCCGCAGAATTTACACTTGTATGCCGGCTCACAGTCGGAAATATCGTTCGGCTCGTTTATCATGGCCCTTCTATGCACATGCTCGCACATGTTCGAGCACACATTTCTCCGTCGCTGTCTGCGTCCCTCCATCGATGTAGCTGCACTGTTGCGCGACCAAGGTAGTTCTCGGCCGGGTACCAAATCGCATTATCTTACAACGTGTTGTTGCACACCGTTCCTGGACCGATAACTTATTCTCCGGTTCTCAACCCGGTTCTCGCAGACGCCTTCCAAGTCTCGGAAGACTTCAACCGGCGTCTTTAGCAGGGATCCATCTGGATGTTGACAATTCGACCGTCTGTTTCTCGATTCTGATAATCGGGTTCCCGGGAATTCCCTAGGCGAAAGCAATTTCCATAGCTTCGCTGCGTTCCTCTAATGACAACCGTCGTTGTCGAGAGTTGTTGAACGTCCTGGGAACCCGACCACCATCGGTTGTTGTTGGTTGCTACCGGGAAATTATCACGGAAAAAGGAAAAACGACGGCGCAGCGCTCGCCCCAGTGAAATTCACGGCGCATAGAAAGAAGAGATAGCTCGATGAATGCTGTAGAAGCCAAAGTAAAAAGGGGAACTGCTGGTGTACTGTATATCTTTGCCGGAAACACGCGGGAACCAAAGAGGCCGAGTAAAGCGCGCGTAACGAGAGAACCGCGGTAGCAGGTAAATACGAACCCGCCCTCGTCTTCATGCACGCCATGAATAATTTCTTCGTCCGCGATCCAATCCCTTCAACAAACTCCTCGCGACAATTTCATTTGGTCGCAAGGTTTCGCGTACCGTTCTTCAACATGTTAATCCTGCGATCGTCCACAATCACCCACGCGCACCTGTGCTGCCCTAAAATTGTACAGATATTACAAATTGATTATTGGCCCTCGCAAATATTTGCGAGAATTTACAATGAAGAAACTATGAATTAATTTGTCCTACAGAGTAATCTTGGCTCTCACGATTATATAATTGTAATTATCCAATTATTACATTATATATTCACAACTGTGCTTTGCGCTTGTTGATTTCTAAATGATACTGATAGTAGAAAATAAGACGCTGTTGCACAGTATACATATATGTAGATCTATTTCCCTCCAAAGCATTCGGGAGAAGCTTAAGAGCGTTGCAGCCGGTATTTCCTTCGTCTAAACATAACTTTAGAACGGCCCCAGGTTGACAGACTAACAATCGGAGACTAACAGTGTGTCGGTGACTGCGTAACACGCGAGATGGAACATGAAACGTAATATATCATAGTTCTTGCGCTTGTTATGCCTGGTAAATAGCGAACGAACTAGCCGCGGCACAATCCTCGGTTTACAGTCGGCATAAAAATTTGTTTTCGTGGTGACTGCTTCCGAAGAACGATAATTGGCTAGCGCACATCGATTACCTCGCAAAACTTTTCCAGGTTGTTCCGTGTCGCATTTGAATTCGTGCCAATGCGAACAAAAATCTCGCGCGCTTTGTACAATCTACCAAGCAATTCTTTCGAAAGTCTCAGGAGACCAAAGACATTTCCATGCGTTCCCGAAAGTTGGAAACTTCGACCAGCGACTGGTAATTGGCCGTGCGAGTTCGCAGCTCGCTCACAATTCACCGGAATATGTTGACCGAGGCCGCTTCGTGATGTTTCTTTCTACCTGACGAGCTATTTCCCGCGGGCTTCATCTGCTCCAGCATCGATACACCCAATAAACTCCCGGCTTTGCCCAGGAGACGCGCGAAGATATGTTCCTCGAGGCGCAGCATGAATTATTAGCTCTCTCGTAAGTGACATAGTTCTTCCCAGGACTACTGTTCAGTTTCGAGGTTCATTGTCCTGATATTTCTCCGATATTTGTGGCACGTAGAAGTACAATCGGATGATCAACAAATTTCTAATGTGCTGTCCGACTCCAGGAAGGTAGTGGAATTCCTTTCGAGACTTCCATAATTTTTTAGCAATTTCTACAATTTTTCTATGACCTCTACAATGTCCCCTTCAGATTTTAAAAAATTTTTTACTATGCCTTCTCAGTGTTCCACAATTTTCCTGTAGCATAGAGTGAACTATCAACTTAAAATCCGAGTTCGAAACGTGAAAAGAGGTGTTCCATCGCTCCTTTCTTCCTTCCTTCGTTTAATGATGGAAAAGCTTCCATGCTGGTCGTTCTAACGCGGCGTCGAAGATACAGTGTTCTGGTGGAGAACGCCATCCAGACGATATTTCACCCGGAATAACTGTATCTCGTGACCAGGTCGATCGCATGAATTTTTTAAACCGTCCTTCTAATGTTCCCTCTTCGCGAGCACGGTTCGGCTAAACGACAATCTCGCTAATTAATCGAGCAAGCTAAAGTGGTTTCTACAGTGGAATTTCTACAATTCTACAGTGGAAACTGTAGCCGATTTTATCTAGTCGGGGTGCGGAAACCAAGAATCGATGCTACCACCAAATTCGAAAACTAAGAGAATCTCGCCATTCTTCTGAAATTCCATATCGCTCTCCGTCAACGTCCACCAACGTCGTTGGGATCAGCGGGGTCGCGTGTGTTGTTGCGAGTGCAGTTCCTAGATAGCCGAGGTTTAATTGAAACGTGCTCCGGCTGGACAAACAGTCGTGAAAAATTGTTCCGCGAAAAACGCGATACGCTTTGTTTGCACCCACCTTTTTGCTACCGACAGAACTCGTGTCCTCCTTTTTGCGACTTCCGGGATCAAGAGTTACACCAGCTCAGGTGTATTAAATCCAATATATCACAAGTTCTCCCTCGTACGCGATTATAATTATAGAGACCTGGATAAAGGCTGATGGCGACAGTGCCAAGTTGTAAGAAGCAAAGGGGTGAGCACCTGCGGAAGATAAATGTAGAGAGTCTTGAACTTACAAATGATTAAAGAAGAAAATTAAGGGTGAAGCGATTGCAACCCCCGCGTGAACAGAAAGAATTCAAGAATCGGCCATGTAATTGTTTAGATTGTGGCCGATTTACCGATATCCGCGTTCCAAGTTCCCGGTAGCCTAGTTTTTTTAATTTCCCCTGGGGACCCCCTGCTACGGGGATGCCATTGCGCGTGTCGAAACGATACAACTGCAGGCATTTAGCGGTATTTCTTCGGGTCAACCGATTAGTTCCTGGTCAGCGAACCTCAATGAGCTTGATGTCGGTGCGATAACGCGTGGGCGTTAGCGAGCCAGACGTCCTATACCCACGGATATTTAAACGAGGGACGTTTTCGCGCAAATGGAACCGCTCGTTACTTCTGCTCGTTGCACAATCCCGATGAATTAGCCCGAGAACCAAGAATCGCTTAGAAGCCCGAGGAGATTGGACGTTTTAATTCCAGGTGGGAGGTGGCTCCTCTTTGGGCAATCGTTATCGCGTGTTGAATTCGCTCCCGCAAAGGAACTGTAACTGTAACTTTCCGGAACAGATTAATTATTCTCTTCTCGCAAGATTCTGGATAAGCGGGAGAACCTTCCTAGGTTACCTTTTACGCCTCTGTGTTTCTTCGTTTAAAGCTACCTTGAACAAAGACTCGACTCCGCTGACTACTATCTTCCTCCAACTCCCCAACGGAAAAATGAAATGAAAGGATTAGCGTGATCTCGAGGAAGGTTCCGAGCACGGACGACGCGCGACAGTAAAAGGCGTATCGTTAGCCGAGTGTAGTCGTCATAATTAGACCCGGTCAAGGATCCCTCGATGGAAAGACATTGCGCGGTGTAAGGCAGATCGATCGCCGTCGGAACGGAAGGCAGTGTGTGTTTAACGCGTCGGGGTAAATTGTTCGGGAGAACTTTCGCCGGTCGTTATTGTGCTCCGAGTGGCTTTCGCGCAATTAAACCGGAGATCTGTGGCGGCGAAGTGGCACATCCTAATTTATTCATCGAGGTCGCACACGTCACGAAGGGCCGGTAACGAAATCAATGTTGATTTCTTCATTCTTTTTAAGGAAGCTTGTTCGTGTTCTTTAGATTCTTCGAAGGGATGTAAATTCAAGCCTTGCGGTTTCAGCTGCAGAAATAAATAAAATACTGTACTGTTAGTTTTTCACAAAATATTTCCTAAGAAAATACTAAAAAGAATTACGCTATTGTTTTCAAAGATATGCGCAATGAACCCTAACTTTACTGTTCCCTAAAATTGTAGAAGATCGCCATGAATCGCCATCCACGATGAAGAGCGGTCCAACAAGTGAACGTCAGGGATCGAAAGTCTCGATCAGGCGAAATCGGAAACTGTGCAGACTCAAACATTTAATCAGAGGCGGACTAATTCGGGGGTTGGGGTTGCAGGGGCGGTTCGGAGAACATCTGTGTCACGCGTGCAACGGACCAGGTCTCTCCCTCTCCCCCACTTTATGCGATCAATTCGAATACACGACGGTGCACGGGCACTCGTTAACGAGCCCTTTGACGACATTCCCGAAATTGAATTGACAGCGGTGGTCGGCCTCTTAAACGCGCCATCATACATGCGCTTCGAAAAGGCGTCAGGGAACATAGAGCGACAAGGCTGTCACACGTCTCGTTACGTCCGACGCTCCAAAAACTAAACCGGTCTCGATTGCAATTTGCCTAACGAGAACCAAATAAGAAGCCGATTAATCTTTCGGTACAACGGAGAGCTTAGTTTGTTCTCGCGCGATCAGATTAATACGATGAACAGCGACCTCGATAAAAGCATAACTTTAGCCGAGAATACATAGTAGTAAATCCTCTGACTAAAAACAAGAGGAAAGAGTTGCGCGTCGGAGCAGGCTACAGTTTTATCAATTTCGCCGGAAACTACCAGAACTTTGTGCCCATATTTCTCTGAGCGTCCGTTTTATATTCATGACACGCTTCGTGCCCTTGCCCAACCATGGATAAACCGCGTAATCGGCTTCGAAGTTAAAAATGTACGAAATACGGGCCTATTACCACCTTGTGTCATCGAACTTTCAACCCTCTAACACCGGAGCGACTGGCAGGACACTTTATCAAGAAATTGTGGAGGCTTCCGAGCCTGATCTCCGGAACAGATTAAAGCTTGCCAAAAAATCGTGCAACCCTGCAGAACATTTAAGAGCTTGTTTAAAATTGAGTTCAGCTTATTCGGCTCGTTCTCCATCGACTTGTACTTGGAGAAACACTAAAGTTCTATATCTCAGTGTTGAAAGCAGGGATTGTTCACATATTACAATGCCTGCTTCGCCGTAGTTTCGTTTTGGTTCACCTAGAGACCATTTCAGCTGACGTTTCGGGGCCCTTATCCTCTCCCCAATCTCCAATACAAAATGTAAATGCCACGGCGACCGGAAGTTATGGAAATTTCACGAGCGATGTTATTAGAATCGCAAATGAGGGCGATTAATTCTTTCTTCCTTTTTTTTTTCTTCTCCATTCACAGACTATCGTGTGCAACAGCGTCCATGCTACTATGTTCGCGCTCTAACTTTCAGATTTGAACCTCCTCGGAGAACGTGACCCGGTGATAAAGGTCCACGATCGTCGAAACGAACTCGTTGCTTCGTTAATACTAAGTAAACCGGTGCACGTTTATTCGCTGAAACGTTTCGTTTTTGTTTCAGACAGTCTCGGTGACCGTGAGCATATTGACTCTAACTTTTATATCGATAGACCGATGGTACGCAATATGTTTCCCATTGCGGTTCAAGTCGACCACCACCAGAGCGAAGACTGCTACCATCGGCATCTGGGCCGTCGCACTTATCTTTGGTAAGTGTCTTCTACAAGCAGCCTCATTTTGCTATTTCAAAGACGGATAACGACTGTGAGGACGTTTTAGAGACTACCTCGGAAGATATTCAAAGATTGTAGAATAATTATTTTTGTGGAAAACGTGTACTTTTCAAAGTGGTCATTTTGAAGTTGTTTTTCCACAGATATTCCAGATCTGGTGGTTCTGCATACAGTCCCTCCCACCCACGTTAAAGTAAAAACGATACTGTTCACGCAGTGCGACATATCCTGGAGCCAGGAAAGTCAAGTCACCTTCACCATTGTCAAACTGATTTTTCTCTACACCGGGCCACTGATCTTCATGAGCGTGGCGTACTGGCAAATCGTGAGGGTCCTATGGAAGAGCGACATTCCAGGTCACAATTGTAAGTAAATGAAAGCCGAAAGAGTATTAAAACCTTTGCACCGGGAACGCACATTTACGTTTTTAAGGATGTTTCTACTCACCCTCGTGCGTGCAGATTTCTTTGTCGAACATATCCTAGAGCGTTAACTAGATATTACATCGTTCGCATAATTCAAGGCTTTCCCGGTTGTTACGCGTTTTTTCTTCATGGAACTTCTTGCAGCCGCGACACTTCTGCTGCTTTCAGTATTCAACGTTCTGACCCGTAACGATCGCGCTTAACATTCCATAACGTAAGAACGTATTCCTGAAACAATTAGTCCGCTCGGAACTTGTACAAGAATCAACGGTATCATCGTAAAGCTATCTAGATATTCTATAAATATGAATAAGCTGAGCTAAATGGAATACTAAGGGATCTCAAACTGGACTTGCACGAGCTATGGTTGCAACTTCTGTAGACGTCTTCGTTCGCGAATAGTACAAACTATGCAACGTTATAACGACCTTAGCTTGAAACGCTCGTATCTGGTTAATCCACGGAATAACTAATTATCGCACGGATTTGCAGTGGCGCCGCGAGCCTCGCAGATGAGCCAAACCCCTGCCTCCGTCGGCGGTAATCCCGAGACACAGCTAAGATCCAGACGGAAGGCGGCAAAAATGTTGGTCACAGTGGTCATCACTTTCGCTATTTGCTATTTCCCGGTGCATTTGCTCTCCGTGTTAAGGTACTAGTTGGTAATACAACAACAATAACGAAAAAAACAAAAACAAAAAAACGAGCAGAACGCAACAGGCGGGGAATGGTTACTGGACACCGCAAATGGACGCGCCCGTGCTCACCAGCGCTATATTGCATGGAAAACAAACGATTATTATGCTCGGGGAGCGATGATATAACCGTTTATTTACCGTTGCAGGTATACCATTACGTTACCGTCGAACAAGTGGATCAACGCCATCAGCTTAATCGCGCACGGCCTCTGTTACTTTAATAGCGCGGTTAATCCGTTGATCTACAACTTCATGAGTGGTAAACGACCTCTGGTTTTCTAACATTCGTTAAACGCACACTGCACCTTATCTTGCACCTTAGGTTTTACGAGAACAGTTCCGACGTTTCATGCGGGACGACCCATCAACGGGCACATCGTTATCGAAGGCCGTATCAATCTGCTTCGCGGCACAAGACAAAAGATTCTCCCATCTCGCGTGTCCTACGGTGCCGATAAACGACGGCTTCCTTCCTTTATCCTTTATCGGACGTAGAGCTTGAATAAATTCCCATGGAACCGTCGGGCATATTGCGGGAGTGGGATCGGTTCTGTTTTAACAGAATCGACGAGCGTAACGAAGAAACGCTTCTACGGGTTCTGTCTGCCTACGCTAGATTGGTTTGCTTACAATACGCGATCTAACAAACGTATGCTTACTGCGTGCTACAAGCTAATTTAAAAATGAAAGAATTGCATGAAAAGCGTACTGAGACAGTAGCAAATTATGGGATAAACATAGACGGAGGGGCAGTGATGTCCAGGATATAAATTCTGAATGAGGAGCTTATAAGACTGACATACCATTCTTCATCCAAATTGTTCAATCATCTGCATGATAAACACATGTGTTCTTGAGTTGTCCACTCTTCTACAAATCTTCTTGATGTCCCAATATCTATAACTAGGTATCTAATGGTAATGTATAAAGGAAATGTCTTGTTAGGGCCAAAGAAGGAACTGTGCTATTGGAATCTGGGTCAGCCAAAGTCCTTGGGTCTCGTTTTGAAGGCAGATCTGAAAAAAGATTGAAATTGAGAAATGGCTTGATTATTAATTCACTAGGCTTTTATTAATTCACTATATCATTGTTCTTTATTATGTTGTAAAATTTGTGGTATTAACAAATTCGTTATAAGTGAAAGATATTATTGATAATTTTTAAATTGGCGTGGGTTTTTCGGCATGGGTAAAGTCAGTTTCATGGGTTCAGTCACTTCGAAATGTCTGTCTAATTAGTCTAACGCCATTAGAATTTATTGGTCTATACAGTAAGTATTACATAATACATTCAAATAATACATTCATAAAAAGTTTGTGGAAGACAAGATATTAACTAGAATATTTGAAATCATGCGAAAAACGTAATACTCTAATAGAATTTGATTCGCTCCGATCGCGTCGATACCGGTTTGAAATGCCTCCACATCGCTCATTGAACTCGTTCAAAATTAGCTACAGTCATTACTACATGCAAATTACCTATAGTCATTACAAAAATCAATCTACAACACAAAATACTAACTTTCGTACCGATCCAAAAATGATTACCAATACCGTTACACGAGAAACTATTTTGTTACAACCCATGCGCACGCAGTTGATTAATGCACGGCGCACTTTGCAAAGAAGCGCGCGCATTTTTGTCAAGTTCAAAATGTCGCTTGTAAGATAAGCTTACCTGTGATTTTACTGGGACGTAAAATGAGCTAATAGAATAGATGCAGGAAGAGAACGGCGGTAAGAAAAAATAGAAATAGACGGAGATATTCAGCGTGTGGTTTACAGGTAAGTTCCGGCAGGAGTTTCGACGTACGGTTCGAGAATGCACGACGTCGAATCATCGACATCCGAACCAGCATCTCAGCTACGCTTTCACCGGAAATGGATACCGATCAGCTCCCCAAAACCGTCGCGAGCAAACCTGACACGCGGAGATGAGAGTCTCTTGGGTGAAAAAAACTCCTAGTACCGTCGCGGAAGGGCCCCATGACGGGAACGAGTCTCCGCAGGAACGATCTAATCTCGGACTTTGCACCCCGCAGACTCGGTTGCGTTTAGGGTGAGCTATATTATATTTTACAGTTGTTGGCCACTTTAGAGAACAAAATAAACGAAAACCGAAACTGTTCTATAAACTTTCTGCAATCGAATCCTTCGAACGCACTCGAACGCGACCGGCCACCTATCGGAAGATACCGCCAAACACTGACCTGAAACACCGTTCGAGAATCGAAATAACTGCTGGCCGGTCGATTTGAATCGATCGATTAATACCGTTGGTAATAAAGATGGCCGCACTTCTTGTTTAGTATTTCAAAATAATAAGAAAAGAACAGTTTGTTGTTTTATGCGTATACGGAAGAAATCGAGAACGAAATATTATATAGCTTGCCCTTCTCGTTGTTCATCGTGCAATTGCATTGACAATTAGCCTATTAACACTTCGTGTTAAAGGTTTAAGTACTAGCAATAGTGGCGTCTGTATCGACTGCGACTAAGGTTGTTTCATAAAATTTGAAATCGTCGATACATATGTAACAAGAACATTCTAATTGCAGGAAAATTTCGGAAGGAGTTTAAACGTACTTTTCGTTGCACTCGAGGAAACGGTTCTAGAGCTCAACGTGGCTACCTCGCTAGTTCATCTAATCTTGCCAGAATAAAGACTCGGACCACTACTATACGAACAACGTTCAAAAATAATAATAACGTTCAACGAAACTCTGAAATTATACCTCTCAGCGCTATAACGAGTATTCAGCAAAACGAAAAACACGATTGATCGTAAGTAGATATGTTTATAATTGTCGGATGCGCAATGAGATTCACAAGGGATCGTTTATTTGCATTGTAATCGGAACTTTAATGTAAAGGTATACGGTACTTAATAATTACAAAGAAACAGCATAATGTACGTTCAACTGGTTATCATTCAAATAACAAAGGACATTTGAAAAAGCGATCTGTATTTAGTTCCTACTTCCGTAAAAATCGGTAGACATTGATACGCCATTTTGCATATGAGATTTCGCATAATATAACGAAGCGTCGAGTTGTTTTTGTTTGTTCGAATGTACCGATCTCGATAATAAAAGTGATTAACATTCGTCCTCGCTGAACATGAACTGGAACTATAGGCACACACGCGCATCTGCACGTTATTTCACTTATAATCGACTGGTATCATACGTGACCGTTGTTGTATCTATAATTATTTTTCAAACGATATGCCAGCCACGCCGACAAAATCGGGTATAAAAAGTTTCATAACATACACATACATGTGTACGTATACGTTGCTACTATGTTATAAATATAATGCGATGTAAAATCCGACACTATGTACACTATCTCCTAACATTTTATGTCGTCTCAATGGAACTTATTGTTAATCCGCTAACGTTATACAATTCAATTGTGTATGAGGATTATTGCGCGCAAAGATCAATTCCATTATTTATACGATCCCGTCGCTATTCCTCTTGAATGATGGATTTTATACGAATTGAATCTTGATCAGTAAGTTTTTACTTCTAATAATCTTCTCCAGAAAAAATCAAAAAATCAAAACATAGGACAAATAAATTTAGTCACTTATGAAAGAACTTCTTATGAATATATTATCTTTCCATTCCATATTGCCAGTAAGAAAGCATGTTATAAGCGTATTTATTAAAAAAGAAAAAAAAAAGACTCATCGCGGTTCAATAAAATCTATTAGTGACAAGATTAGTATATTAGCCTATTAGGCTTTGCGAATATTATTTGCGAAATTATAGTGACGATTTTCCTTCAACGATTGATGTTTTTCGCGATCGGTAGTGTAAGTAAATTAAAGCATTAAGTAATGATTACCTATCGAATGAATCGTCCATCAAATTACCCAATGAAGCGCAGTACAAACATGTTTGTACAGAGAAAGTCATAATACATAATTAAGGTTACTGACCTGACTATATGTATAGTCTATTTACAATAACTGTTTGTTCTTATCAAAAAGATATATCGATTTTATTAACCATTCTGCCTGTATCGATGCTGCATACGGTAATACTCGATACACGATAATACATTTAAACACTAATCCCTTCTACTAATAATCGATTATTAGTAGACTTTTATATATGAAAGTAATTCAACAATATATATTGAAGAATGTGTGTGTTTTAATAATAGCCGCAGATCCATGAAGATTCGTAGAGAAACATTGTTATAAATGAAACCTACGAAATTATTCAACATACTGTAATTAGATAAAACCATTCTGAAATATGTATTAAACACGCACATACGCCGGTTTCCGCCACTGTTCCAAGAGCGGCTCTCGCGGTTATAAATCTTCTATACATATTGTATATGTAACATCGTTAAAATTACACATCATCCTTTATAATTATTATGCTTGCTCGTATTTACGAGGATTCACAATTACGTCTTTTGCGAGAAAATTGAAGAGAAACTATGCGACATTCTTTCAAGCTGCTGCTTCCTCGATAACTTTGCTCTCAGTTGTACTACTCTCAATGACGATAGGATCATTCTCGATTTTTTCCACGACTGTTGTTTTAATGGGAACAATATTTTCATCTAGAATAATTTTTGACGAATTGTTAGCATTTATTACCTCGGCGGTAGGATCTGTCGTAATGAGTTCTTGAACCACTGGTGTATCTATATCAACGTCTTTAGCATCTATCTCTTCGGTCATAGTGTCTGGTATTGCACTTGGATCTATGCTTTTCTGTGTTTCTTGAATCAGAGAGCTCTGTTCATTTTGAACGTTCTCAAACTGTTCCGGAATGCCCTGATGTTCACCTTCCATCAAGCCGCTTTTAATTTCTTGCTCAGCCTGTTGCATATTGCCAGGCTGATTCGGTTGCTGGAGCTGTGTACTTCTACCTCGTCCTTTGCCGCTCTGGTGTTGTTGATTATCAGGCGGTGGAAGAATCGGAATCGCAGCTTTCGGTCGTCTCATCGGAGCCGACTGTTGTTGCTGTTGCTGCTGCTGCGCTGGACTATAGTAAGTACAACCTTGTGGCTGGAAAAGCTCTTGCGGAGGTGGCGGACGCTGCGGCTGAAACCAAACGACAAATCATAGAAATCATAACACAATCATAGAAACAAAAGTTATGAAAAGTGTTGGTGGCAAAAAGTCTACCTGAACTGGCGGACTGTATCCTTGGTAGCCTTGAAAGTTTGGTTGAAATGCTGGACCATTCGGACCAGGAACATAATTGATTATACTAGGTGGAGCAGTCTGTGGAGGTATAAATTGCGGTGGCGGTACCAAAAATGGCGGTGGAGCATAACTAGCCGGTTGACCATTTGGTGGCAAAGGAATAACAGGTTGTCCAGCCAGAGGCGTAGCAGCGGCAGCAACAGGCGTAGTTTGTTCGAAATGACCTTGCGGATATCCTATAAAAATTTAATCATCATTAGAAAAGTACTACAAACATGCGTACACGTGACCACTCACGCAAAAACCAAACAAACATAAACGAAATTTGTCAGGCAAATAAGGAAACTACTTTGTCTTACCTTGCGACTCTAAAACACCTCTTGAATTGCCAGCTAGATGCATGTACACAGAAGTCACATATTAATATGAAATACACAGCATATTTACAATTAATCACCAACAAATATTTTGCATAAATAATAATATAGGATATATCAAACAAGATCGAGAACATTGAAATATATTTATTACCTTGAGGGGGGAAATATCCATGCTGGTTATGCTGATTATGTTGATTGTGTTGGCTGTGTTGATTATGTTGGCTGTGTTGACTGTGTTGACCGTGCTGCCCATGCTGTGATGGATAATTTTGTTGTCCAGAAGTCTCAGAAACTGTAGGACGTTGTCGTAAACTGGAGTATCGCTTCGGTCTATTGGCAGAACTATCTTGCTGTTGAAGCGATTGTTGCTGCGGTTGCGATGAGGAATGAGATTGCTGTTGTTGTTGCATTCTTGGAGGTACCGTGCTCGACCTCTGTTGATTGGACGACTGCCCATAGAAGCTTTCTGGAAATATATATGAATAAGTTTGGAGATCATTCAAATTAGCTATTGTATGTGTCGAATACCCACTGTTGTGTCTCCCACTTTGATGGTACTGTGTACCATCATTAACACTAACATGCTTCATGTCATGCGTGATCTGTTGCTCATCGTCATTCTGTACGTTACTATTTCTCTTATTCTCCGCGGTGATCGGACCCGCCCCGCGTCCCTTTGGTTTAGTTTCAATTGTTCTATTAGTAACCATATTGTTATTAGCGTTCGTCCTGAATCCTCGTCCGCGTGTTCTACTCGCTGCCAAGCTTACAGACTCTTGGACGTTCCTCTTGTTATTATCTCTTGGAGATGTCTTTGCATTCACCAATTTGTCCGCGTCACCACCGGCTCCACTATTTCCGTTATTACTCTGAGTATGTGAAGAGTGCTTGATGTCCTTTTTCCAGGCTGGATTTGTAGGCTCATTAGGAGCTTTATTTTCATTCCTGTAAAACAAACGATGCAGTTGATCTATTAAGAAACTAGGAAAGTAATTCTATTATTTTAAGAAATGTTACACACGTATGAGTATTAGATGCACTGCTTGATTTCGTTTTTGGACTGTCGCTCTGTGTTTGCAGTGGTGGAAAGTTCTGTACTTTGTTCTGTATTTTGTTTTTACTACTATACCAAGCCGACGAAATTACTGGTTCCTCGACAAGGGCAGAAGCATTTTTATTAGTTCCTAGTGCAGGAAAATCTTCACCGCTTCTGTTAAACTTTCTATTCCTATTGGTGACATTTGTTCCTGGTTTTCCATATGCATCCTCATCTTCCCAGTTACGGGTATATTTATTGGGGCCACGACTATAAAGAACAAGACATATGAAATCGACTGTCTATAACAATCATAAAATGATATTTACCCATATCTTCTTCTTCTTCTAGCCCTAGGAGGTCCTTCTTCGTTTCTAATGTCATAGCCATACACTGCTATTAGTTCTTCATGGCTCTTTGGTGCCTGCTCTTCATCATTGTACCTATCATGATCCCATCTATCTTCCTTATCTTTCCATACTTTTTTCTCTTTGGTTTCCCTTTCATTCTGAGACTCTTGGTTGGTTTCTGTCACTTCATCAGCAGTTCTGTCATCGTGTTCATAAAATGTCCCTCTCTTGGGAATATACTGTGGATTTCTTCTGTCCTCATCATCATCTAATTTCTTCTGAGGTTTTTCTTCTTCCTGACCATCTCCGCTCTCCCTCAATGCTCCATCTTGAGATTCAACATCAGAGTCTGATGCATAAATGTCGCATTCGGAGTCTTGATGTCCATCGGTTTGTTCACTGCTCTGTGAAAGAAAGATACATCGAAAAAAGAGATTAACAGTAATCTAAATGTACACAACATTGTTGAAATGTCCTCATGGAATTATACGATGTGAAAGTATACATATATAGATAGGGTCGATTTATAGTAATCTTGTGCTTATGCATACGCTGGAATTGCGAAACGATGATAAGTTCATTCGCCGGTAAATTGAATACAAAGGAAAGTCTAGTCTGTGTTATACACAGAAGTATTACAACAGTCTACTTAATCCGCTTAATCGAGTCTTCCGCCGAACTTTCGATCCAGTTTAGGACAATACGGACAACCTGCCTAAACAATGACAGCTCGGAGAACGACCAAGACCACGGAAGAATATGAATTGTCTCTTTGGAATTATTAGGAAAATATCGAACCGGAAAGACGCTATTGCAACAGCTAACCTGAGTCTCTTTCGTTGCGTTCAACTCTTCACAGGAATCCGAGAGGTCGTCGGAACCGCACGACTGATTAGACTTTCGACGTCGTCTAGTATCCGACATGTTAATTCAATTGGGGCCACACAGTTCCCGAAGTATCACCAATTTTCTCTCGCGAAAACGTGAGCGGAACGATTAACTGCGGATAACTTTTAAGGTCGAACTTGTTCGTGTCTGTCTGGTCTCCTTCCACTTCACTTCAACGAGTCCAAACGGGTCCCTGATCCTGATCAATCCTGATCTGATCTGATCACGATTTCTCGGTCACGAATCACAGACCAGACTATCACGATATCGAGAAGGCACACCACATTCACGAAATTTTCGCAGCCGAAACAATTTCGTCAGGCCGTTGTTACTGAGAATTCTTACAGAGGAGAAACTCCGACGTTTTTCAAGAACCGCATAGATCCATTACGATCATGAATCACAAAAGATTTTTACAGAACCGAAATCACAGTATTGTTCGATGATTCACTGCGCACGTGTCTCTAAGTTGTGCACCGTGAACATAGCTATAGTACTACTTATTTTGAATTCAAAATTATAGACAATCTTTCATAGAAATATTCCTGTTTTGTCGCTCAAATTACTTAATATCTACGTGAAATACATATAAAAGTTGTCTTGAAGATGTGAAGACATTCTATCACTACAAAAAATGACATTTCGAATGTGTAGTATATTTAGTTTTGATACTGTTGTGCAGACGTAAGTTTGGAAGTTTCACCTCTGGTATAATGTACATATGTGCAGCACTGTGTACTGCATACTCTATGGTTTGGCTATATGGCTACATATTGCTCAAGTAGAAATATTCTATTTTGCAAAGTCCTAAAAGAATTTTAGCATGAAATACAAGCCTAAAACTTAATGAATGATGGCATATTTCGTTTCTAACTGTATTTCACCTTTCCGTTGTGCGAAGGTGAGCAAAATATACCACTGAAAATCATCCACGTCAGTCCGCGTGGCTCAAAATTAACTGGTTCTTGAACGAAACGATTTAGCCAAGGAACAAAATTTCTGTAAGATATTGCACAATCGTAAGAACTGCTCGAAAAGTTGATGTTAATGAGTGGCATTTAAATTGTGTTTTGAAGTTTCAAGCAGGAATTGAACTGCCTCCACGTTTCTACAAACATTTCTTCGCAACTTTAATGGCGGTCACGTTGGCGCTGATATTTACCACTTACGTTCATTGAAAATATGGTGAAATAATCACTATTTTACAAATATGTCGAATTATTGTGGTATCTACAATGTGCTGCCATTTTTCCTTATTACTGTATATGGACATGATATGAAAAGTTTCGATGATACCGTTTTGTTTAAAATTAACTGGCCGGGGAAATCGAATACCGATTTATTGGTACGCATATATATGTATATTAATTAGTAAAATATAAATTAGTAAGTTTATGTTTCTTACAGGAGACTCGACCTAATGTAGAGCCTTACTTTATAACAACTGCAAACAACGAACGGTATCAGTGTTTGATTCCTGACTTGGCCAGTCAGGAAGAGGATCCTAATGAGCCTTATTATGGAGTAAACCCTATAGAAATTTTATCATTATTGTTTAGGCATGGTATTTGTACTTCTAAGGTATACATTTTAGAAGCTATTACTATCTGATACTTGTGAAATTCCTTCTGTACAGTATGATCTATTTAGGTGGAGATATATTGGAAATACGAAGTATGTCATGGAAAGTTTGTACGACAATATCACGAAGACAGAGAGGGAAAGAAAGCAAAGATACAAGAATATTACTTAGGTACCTTTAACAATGTACAAGAACTGAAACTATTTGCAGAATATCAAGAAAAGTACCTAAGGCCTAATGGGAAAGCAGACATACCAGTCACCAAAGTTGATGGAATCAATATGCCTTATGTGGAGATTGAGATGAGCGATGGCACAATTTGTGATATAAATGGTAAACCACGGAAGGTCAAAGTTCGATATGTTTGTTATCTGCATGGTGGACACGATTTGTACTCTATCAAGGAGCTTATAAGTTGTGAATACGAGGTCATTGTACTGTCTCCTGTGCTGTGCCATCATCCTCATTATAAACCACAAGGTACAGAAGGAAATGAAATCAGTTGCTTGCCGGTTGACAATGCACCAAAGAAACCAAGAGCACTTATTTCGATGGAAATGGAAAGCTTGAAGCTGCAGCATCAAAAAGTGACGGTAAAACCACTTTCCCTACACTCTACACAGTTAACTATTTATTCTTAAATATGCTTGTGTTGTTTGTATATAATATTGTTATGTACAATAAAATTTTCACATAATTCCTGTCTGTTATAGTAGTAAATATTTATTGTCAATTTTTCTAAGAGACATGCAGATTGTTGTTTGAAGATTGAATATGCAATGCACTTTATTCATTAAAAAAACACTACATGTCACACAATAATAGGAAAACTGTTTTTTTTTTATTGAACTGATTCTAAGTATCTACATATGTGGACCACATGACTTGCCCAGTTAAGCCATGTTTAGAATTTGTTTCAGCTCAATATTCATATCAATATTTTCCTTGTTTCTCATCCATATACTGAATTCATTATTTGTTGCACAGGATGACAAGCCGCAGAAAGTCTATGCAATCCTCCATGCAGATAAGGAGGGCCAGGTCAGAATATTTTGTATTTTTGGGAACAGGCTAAACAGCTTGATGGTTCTTATTGTCACTATACATCATTAATGTATATTTCATTCTGTCCCTTCCTTTTCTACATATATTCATCCCTCTTGAAACAATATATTTTTCAAAATAATATATTCGGATAATAGTACAAAATATTATTTGTGCACTGTTACATGTAATGTAACACAGTTGTTTAATGTGCACAGTTTTCTCTGCTTTATTTCGTCACAGCTAAACTTATAATAGTTTCAATGTTCGTCATTGTTGCATTTCGTATTGCTTTGTGCCGTTACATACTGACAAATCGCTTGATGAGACATTCAGGCATATACACTTAAAAAAAAACATAAAAACCAGTTCTTACAATAGTAATGCAAAGAGAAGCAATGGTATTCAGAAACAGTTTCATTCAATATAACATTAACATTAATTGTAAAGAGCTATTCGTTTCTTGGTTATGATAAATAATAATTTAATCAACGTTTACATGTATTTCAGGATGTCAGAGTTGAGATACATCAGGTGGACATGATCGACAAGCATAACGCTGAGGACTCTATTAATTCCATAACGGATCAAGGCATCAGTCCGGCGGAAGCAAGTCCCGTGAAAAATTTTCTTAGTGGTAAAAATTGTTTACACGGGGTGAGCGTACATTCGTTCGAATTATATTCGCTAAGATAAAACACTAATTAATTATAAATTACGAGCAGGGCAATGGATGGTGGAAGTACGAGTTCTGCTACGGGCGTTCCGTGGTACAATACCATATAGAACGAGACGGTAGTAAAACGATAGTGAACCTCGGCAAATTCGACAAGCAGAAGCACCTGAACTGGATCGCCGCGCACCCACACAAGAAGCCAAAACCACCAGAGCTGCGCAAACAGCTCACACATTTTTATAGCGATGGGAATATTTGCGATAAGACTGGCAATCCCAGGCAGACTGAAGTATGACAAATAAGAAAAAGAAACAATGTATACAATGTGGACTAATAAACAATAAATTTTCAGGTGAAACTAAAATGCGTCGAGGGTCACGCGGCCAGTCCATCCAGCGTTTCCCTGTTTCTGCTTGAGCCAAAGACCTGCGAATATGTGTTGGGAGTCGAATCGCCACTGATTTGCGATATTTTAGAGTACGCTGATAGCAATGGGCTTCTAAGTGAGAAGTTCGAAGTAAATTTCGACAAGATGAAGACCACAGTCTACCATGAGTACGACGACTTGGATGAGAGGATAGCGAATGGGGACGAATAGAATAATGCGTTAACAATATCAAATTTTCGCATCTAATGTGACAGTACTCGGTTCTGCTGGCCACTTGTATTTAGTTCATTGTTTGTTGATTTTAATGAATGCTATCCAGCAATTGTGCAACCATACAAATTCTTCGGTTCGGACGTTGTTTGTACATTATTAAGAACTGTGATGGTTGCAAAGATACGAAAAGGCTTTAGGAGACACAATAAAAACCTTTTTTACGCCAATTTCGTTGATACCGTATGCGTTCAGCACACATAAATGTGCTCCGCTATCATTGTCCGATGTTGAGACCGATGCCTACGCGAAATTGTTGCTTACTGTGATTCAGTAGACTGCTGATGACTAGCGAGGACTCTGGTATAGGATACAATCGTTTCTCGAAAACAGCGCCAACGGTAGTCTTAGAGTTGACTATTCCGCGAAACACTAGGTCCGCGTAGGGCACATTCATTTGATAGACTATTGTAGCGACCGAGTGATGTGTCCGCATGTTGGTCTCCAGCTCAACGCCAAGTTCTAATTGTGAGCTAGCCTTGTGATGGTAGCATAGATGTAGACCCGCCTCGCCAAGAGTACCGGACAGAGTTGTTAGACCGGTGCTGTATCGGAAGGCGGCACACATAACTGTCTGCTGACCGCCGGGTACTTTAGAACCGCGAAGACAGGCCAGCTCCACTCCTAGGGTGATCCTTGACGAGATCGCTTGTAGATAGTGCATCACCAAGGTTCCGTGATTCTTAACAATATCCGGGTTCGCCATTGTCATTGCTAGTGTAAAGTCGTTCGCGCGATATTCTGCGGAAGAGCTTGACGCCTTGCATATTCCATTAGCTATCTGTGCAGATAATTTGCACCGGAACCGACAACCCAGTGTATGCATGAACGAAGCAGACAGATTTCCATTAGGTGATATCTGGCCGATAATCACTGGATACCTCTCCTTTGGTCCCACCAACTTCGTACCTTCGTAACTCGCGCCAAACTTATAACCCGAAGGCGTCACAGAGCTCAGCGTAATAGAATGTGTAACATTGAAATGGTCACTAAGCACCTTCTTAATTATCAAACGCGCGCCCTCGAAGTTTTGCGGATATAGAGCCTTCACCTTTTTGTGCAAGTCCTCGAAGCTTCCTGGATTCCCTGGACCCCTGTCCTGCTGCTCTACGCACTGCATGCATTCCTTCTCATTGTACATTTCGCTTGATTTCTCCTCTTTCTTCGCTGAAGCGTGTACCATGCCCATTCTGAGACATCAGAGGCTCACGGAATAGCGTAGGAGGGTATTAATCGTTTTATTTTTAATTTGGTCCGTTGCGCGTTCATGCGAATTTCGGTTTTTCTGCATACAGGTTAGCAATTCAAACTGCTGCCACATTTCAAACGTGAAGCGGGCTAGCATGATCAATACTCGCTGGTCGACAGCGACTGAAGCGAATTTTCCGACATAGTCGCTAGATGGCATTTGCATTGACCATCCCATCCTACATTAAATTTTATGTTGTTATTTAAATGAAAGTACATTTTATTTAAATAGGTAAGTTCGTTTGAAGTGTGTAAAACCTTTGCAACTATTATGGCAGTAGATTTTAGGCTTTAGTTGCTGTGTATATGGAACTGTTTTTGGAAAAGTTTAGTTTCTCGCTAGTGCTCACTAGGTAGATCTTTTGTATATATACGGGGTCGAAAGTTACCCTATAGGAAGTGTGTGCTAGTGATTGCACAGCTGAACATTGATCGCTAACGTAGAAATTGTGGCAGATCTGCTCAGTGGGTGTTGTCACGTGGTCGCTTCAAGTAGCTTGTGTTCGGCTCCCGATTGCGCGTTCAAGTCCATGGTTTTGCTAAAACCTCGGATTTGCACGCCTGCACGGTCGAGTCCTTCACGTCGCTCCTCGAACTACCGCGATTTCCAAATTGGGGGGCAATCGAATAGGTCAGACGAGGTTGTAGTTTGTCGCTTCCATATGCAGGCACTGCAGATAGCAGTATGCCATGTTTTTTGCAACGAACTTCTTCTATATATGCAAATCACCACCGCCATTCTTCTTTATGTAACGTACTTATGACAACTGTAGCATTATATAACAAACTGTATACCGTAGCAATTCTTTATTTTTATAAAATTGATACAAGGTTCATGTAGAAATTTTTTTCTGTGTCTCGCTATTTATTTCAGAGGCGACTTGAGTGAAGAGGAGATTCCAGTTCCACACTTCATCCGGTTCTTTCGTCAGGTTTTCATTGTACAATTTCTCAGCAAGAAGGGACAAATTAACGCCATTTAGAGAGATGAACGCGGCGTTCTTCACCAAGTCGGTATCGAGTTCTTTGTAAGCGGTGACTCTGTTTACGTTTACCCTGCAAGGTGATTGTCAATGACAGAACATAACAAAATCTCTGCAGTTTCGAATACAGAATATGCAGTAGTATTGTAAGTGTATTTACGTGGGAGTATTGACATCAGATAGCGCGCTGTCCTCTTGTATTTCATCCAAATCTGGAATAATGGGGATGTCTGCAAATAGTATAATATTCATGTAAGACATAAATGATAATAGCAATTTAGGTTAGTCTTCTATATGTGTATACATATATGTATATAGGGTACATGTATAAACGGGACATGGGGGGGGGGGGGGNAGCAGACAGATTTCCATTAGGTGATATCTGGCCGATAATCACTGGATACCTCTCCTTTGGTCCCACCAACTTCGTACCTTCGTAACTCGCGCCAAACTTATAACCCGAAGGCGTCACAGAGCTCAGCGTAATAGAATGTGTAACATTGAAATGGTCACTAAGCACCTTCTTAATTATCAAACGCGCGCCCTCGAAGTTTTGCGGATATAGAGCCTTCACCTTTTTGTGCAAGTCCTCGAAGCTTCCTGGATTCCCTGGACCCCTGTCCTGCTGCTCTACGCACTGCATGCATTCCTTCTCATTGTACATTTCGCTTGATTTCTCCTCTTTCTTCGCTGAAGCGTGTACCATGCCCATTCTGAGACATCAGAGGCTCACGGAATAGCGTAGGAGGGTATTAATCGTTTTATTTTTAATTTGGTCCGTTGCGCGTTCATGCGAATTTCGGTTTTTCTGCATACAGGTTAGCAATTCAAACTGCTGCCACATTTCAAACGTGAAGCGGGCTAGCATGATCAATACTCGCTGGTCGACAGCGACTGAAGCGAATTTTCCGACATAGTCGCTAGATGGCATTTGCATTGACCATCCCATCCTACATTAAATTTTATGTTGTTATTTAAATGAAAGTACATTTTATTTAAATAGGTAAGTTCGTTTGAAGTGTGTAAAACCTTTGCAACTATTATGGCAGTAGATTTTAGGCTTTAGTTGCTGTGTATATGGAACTGTTTTTGGAAAAGTTTAGTTTCTCGCTAGTGCTCACTAGGTAGATCTTTTGTATATATACGGGGTCGAAAGTTACCCTATAGGAAGTGTGTGCTAGTGATTGCACAGCTGAACATTGATCGCTAACGTAGAAATTGTGGCAGATCTGCTCAGTGGGTGTTGTCACGTGGTCGCTTCAAGTAGCTTGTGTTCGGCTCCCGATTGCGCGTTCAAGTCCATGGTTTTGCTAAAACCTCGGATTTGCACGCCTGCACGGTCGAGTCCTTCACGTCGCTCCTCGAACTACCGCGATTTCCAAATTGGGGGGCAATCGAATAGGTCAGACGAGGTTGTAGTTTGTCGCTTCCATATGCAGGCACTGCAGATAGCAGTATGCCATGTTTTTTGCAACGAACTTCTTCTATATATGCAAATCACCACCGCCATTCTTCTTTATGTAACGTACTTATGACAACTGTAGCATTATATAACAAACTGTATACCGTAGCAATTCTTTATTTTTATAAAATTGATACAAGGTTCATGTAGAAATTTTTTTCTGTGTCTCGCTATTTATTTCAGAGGCGACTTGAGTGAAGAGGAGATTCCAGTTCCACACTTCATCCGGTTCTTTCGTCAGGTTTTCATTGTACAATTTCTCAGCAAGAAGGGACAAATTAACGCCATTTAGAGAGATGAACGCGGCGTTCTTCACCAAGTCGGTATCGAGTTCTTTGTAAGCGGTGACTCTGTTTACGTTTACCCTGCAAGGTGATTGTCAATGACAGAACATAACAAAATCTCTGCAGTTTCGAATACAGAATATGCAGTAGTATTGTAAGTGTATTTACGTGGGAGTATTGACATCAGATAGCGCGCTGTCCTCTTGTATTTCATCCAAATCTGGAATAATGGGGATGTCTGCAAATAGTATAATATTCATGTAAGACATAAATGATAATAGCAATTTAGGTTAGTCTTCTATATGTGTATACATATATGTATATAGGGTACATGTATAAACGGGACATGGGGGGGGGGGGGTTCCTGAGGTCATTTGAAGTAATTTTTTCCTTAACGAAAATGCAATCCGCGGTTTCGTTTACGAGTTATTAGCGAAAAACAGTAACCCATGAGCTAAAGAGCGGACTGAGCTTCGACCGTTTCTAATGAAATGACCTCAAGAACCCCTCATTTCTCGCTTGTACAATAATTTTGGAACATCCTGTATATACAGAGCGGCCTAGATCACCCGTCCACTCCTATTAAAATCGAGGGCAATTATTTGTATTGAAAACTAAAAACATGTTAATAATTAATTCGAGTGGATGGTGGTGGTTGTGCAATTTCCGATATCGATCGGAAATAGAATTTTTAAATTGAAAGTCGATTTTTAAAAAAGTAGGACCTGATTTTTTTTGCGTATGGTTTGCGACGGATGGTTTAGGACACCTTGTATGTATATCTTAAAAATCATGAGATTAATGCTTGCGATTAAAATATTCTCACCATCAGCTGGGTCCTTCTCAAGTCCCCGACTTCGTTCCCTAATAAACAGTCTATCAGTGACCATGGCTGTCTGATTTCTTAAAACTACACATTATACTCACTGTTCAATTATGTTAGACGCGCCCCGAGCTCTATTAAAAAAAAAAATCAAAAGAATAAGAGGAATATAGTAAAACAATAAATTAATTCTTTCAGGAAATAGAGAACTGCAATGCCGCTACCTGCCGCTCTTCAGCTCGTCTCCCCATCCCGTTTTTCTGGTGCGAGGAGGTGCCACAGGTGGTTGCGTCGATCTGCCAGCGGTTATAGATATAGGACTCTCCAAAAGATCATCGTCCGACTTGCTGTCCTCCTGCGTGACGTTTTGCTGCGTTGAGCGTCTGCCAAGCCGGGGTAACAACTACAAATAAAATGGTCATAAAAAGAAATGTTCTATCTACGCTACCTGCAATTACAGTGAGACATTAAAATAATTTTTCCGTAGGTTTGAGCTACTAAGCGACAAGGGTGAAGAAAAAACTACAGTAATGCCTCAATAACTGTCGCATTTATCTCTACTTGTTGAGACTAGTTAGGCTAATATCTCCCTCAGAGAGGGGCCCTATATCATTCTGCTTCAGCATTCTTTACTCTATCTTTCCAAGCATCTAGAAGATGTGACAAATTCTACCCTGTAGTGGCAGTCACCGAAGCAATACCTTCTTCGAAGTGATCTCCAAATCCGCGGCCCACTCCATAATTGCCTAGTTGTTCAATCCAGGAACAGAAACGAAATGGTTCGCGCAAGGTGTGTGTTTGTAGCCAGTAACCATAACAACTGACCGCCCCGCCACGCGCCGTTGAATCGAATTCACTGCTCGTCTTTGCGTTCACCTCCCCTCTTCAGCATTGTATGAACCGCGAGAAACGTGACTGGAAACCTTGCGAACCGAACCCGCCACGCAGTAAACCGGTTCCGGATTTATCAAGCTCTCAAGGGCGCGACTTTTCAAGCGTATCACTCTTGGGATTTAAATCTTAGGTATCTAAGGACATCAAGGGAATACTGAAGTAATATAACCACAGAATTAGAAACAGTACATTTATTACACGAAGTTGCTTCAGACGCCTAAATTACGTAAATACTGCCTGCGATGCACGACCGGCTGCATCGTGAAGGGGCACTGAGGTGGCTAGCAATCACAGGGTCCTCGGTGATTTATCAGTACCGGAACAACTAATAATACTTGGTGTTGTCGATTTGCCGTTGATACTCCTCGTCATCAGGATTCGGTTCACAGCGGTTATCATTGTTCGGCGGTCTGACTCGATTGTACCTAATCATAAATGATAATCTTAGGACTCTTTTGGAGATCATAATTCTGGCGTAGTTCTTGTTTCAGGTACCTGGAAAAATCTCCTTTACACAGTCTCCAAGGCAGCACGTCGATTCTTTCGTGCAGAACAATGGATATCTCCGGGCTGACAAAGTTGGTTGTCCCGGCTCCGGAACCACGAGTCAGGAGTCTCCTCTTGTCATCATAACAGCAATGCTGAGCAGCCGCACTTCCGCTCCCTTGCGTGAGCAGCGAACGTACGCAGTATGCTGCTCCAGGCTTATAGACGTCAAGCCTTTGAGAACTGCCGCTTACATCCCGCCACCTGAAGTACCTCCTCTGAGACTCGTCCCAAATTTTGTCGTCGTAAAAAATATTACTGGGGTATTGACAAGGACAGGCAGGCAACGAAACGAGGCCACCTGCAATAATCGGGAATCACCGACATTCGTGGAACCAGCAACAGTAGATCCCAGATCTATCCCCTCTTCGGCTTACCTAAGAAAACCTTCTCGATCTTATCCCTACTGTTCAACCACTTCTGGCATGGGTCCTCGCTCGTCTCGTTCACGAAATTCAACTCTTTCAAGATGTTCCGGCGTTCCACGATGGAAGTGTTCCGCAGACTTTGGAGCAGCCTAGTCAATAAAACGCCCAGTCCTTCATGAAACGCCGTTTGATCCTCGAAGGACGCGTTAATGTTCAAAGGGCTAGCCGTTTCAACCCCGTAATCGTCGGTCTCGTTCGTTCTATTTTTCTTCAGCCAGTCTTCCAGCCAGAAGGGCAGACTAGTATCTTGGAACTCAATCTCCAAAAGACCACGCGCCACGAAAGAATCCATCGACGCCGAGCTGACGTTCTTCTCTAGGCTGAAGCCACCCTTCTCTTCAGCACCCCTTCCGTCGTAGTCCTCGTTATTCATGTACTGATCAATGAATGGCAATGAGGATACTAGTAAATTTAGAAGACACTTTCAAAATAAAGTCAATCACCTGAATCTGATCGGTTCCACCAGGAACAATAGGTTCCTCCTCATTCTCCAAGAATGTGTTATTCTTGGTCTCGTTTCGAAGAGGAAACAGTTTGCCCTTTGAGCAGCTCGACCGATTTCGGCAGCGACGTCGTTTCCGGTGTTTCGCATGCCTCGTAGGAAGCGGCACCTTCTTCAACTCGTCGTTCCGCTTGTCTTCGAGTGTGACGGTCACCCAGGAGGGTGAGGGTCTTGGCCCTGAGTATTCTTCAACGAGATCGTCTAGATTGCGTCTTGTCTCCACGTCGTCTAGCTGTTGGAATAAATGAATAATTAATTTATTATTAATTAATTAATAACTTTGTTGTTTTTTAGGGAGAAGACTACCCTACCTCTATTCCATGTCATTGAATGGAATGGATTTCATTTTCGCTCATCAACGCCTATCTTTACCAGAAGACAAATAGAAAAATGATAAAGGATATAGATCTAAATTATAAAATTTGTGAGCTTTGAGGAATATTATATTTATAAGTTTGGATTTATAGATATTGTAGCCCCATATTTGGTTGCAAGAGGATTCGGAAGATTCGCTTGCGAGGAAGACGACCGGTCGGCACAAGATCAAACGAGGCCCCGTGTTTAGCTCGTGGATCTCAACAGGTAAAGGGACGCAGCTGTGCGCAAGTGGAATGGAGTGGAATAGGATACGCTTGGCGGATCCGGGAACGTTTCTACTTCTGAGAAGCGTGCGCCGCCAGCACGATTACTATTCAATGGCGTAGCAGCCGCTGGAATTTCCGATTCTGCCTCGAAAATTCAAACTTTACTGCAGTTCATCGGCAACCATAATCCTAGGCCCATAATTAACAAACTTGTAAATTTTAGGAAAGAGGTAGTCACGTGTACTCTGTACTCACGTGATGGCTCTTGCGTACTCCAGTGGTGACCAGGATGGACCGGAAGGCGAGGATGCAGCAAATCAAAGTGGAAGCTTTCATGGTTGTAAGGGACGATCGCCACGCACGTTTGTCATAATGCGATCCGGACCGCGATGACGATCTGAATCTTTTCCTCTCAAATGTAACAACCGTTTCTTTCCATCTTCGGCGACTCTCCCGTCAGTGGCACTCTGGATCGTCGTTCCATCTTTGCGGGGAACTCCGGTGTCTTTGGCCTTTGGTTGTTTACGCGCAGAAAACGGCGAGACTGGTATAGCAGCGGGAAAGCGAGCGACAACAGAAGAAGAGAGATAACGAGCGCGAGAAGGCTTTCGCGCGAGCAAAAAGGACGTGAGAAGGAAGGAAGAGGTATCGCACACGAGGCTACGAGGCACGCACCGTTCAAAGGCCTACCGCTATATGTATAGTTGTGAACCGGTGAAGTGTTCTGTCCCACTATAATGGCCAGCTGGTGGTAGAAGAGAGGCTGCTGGAGAGGTAGCGCGTCGAATGACAGAACACTACGTCATTGTACAGACCGTACAGTTCACGGTTTAGGGTTTCTTACTTAGGCTGCAGCTCGAGGGCTTTCAGCCCTTCTCTTTCCGTTTCACACCGTACTTCTACGTTCCTGTACCGCTGTCTAATCTCTCTTCTTCGACCTGTAATCCTCCTACGCTTAACATTTATAACCCTTCGGCGGCTTGATCGTTCCTACCTTTGACAACGGTGGTTTTTTAACGTCCTCGTCTAACAAATTTTTTGAAGCAATTTTGGATGTAGCATGCAATAGTTGACGAAAAATTGTTTCACAGGAATTATGCTGCCAAGTCTGAAGATGATCGACTGTTGCATGAATTATGATTCATCAGGAATCGGGGATTTTGTGAGAACCTGCATAGTTCTGAAGCGTGGCCGCTGAAGATTGGAGAGTAATTGCGTATATACAACTATCTTGTTCTACACGGAATGCTAGCAAAAGAGAACATAGTCTCTTCTAGACTGCTATCTACGGATGAAACGCGTGTAATTGAATGATAGTATTAAGGTCGTTCACCACGAGAATTCTCGAGGAATCTCGGCCCATAATTATGTAAACGATCGAATATGTTGTTGCTCGCAACGCGCGAACCTGTCGGGGTGCGAACTACGCGTGTTACGATACGCGAGGGATCTAAATAAAGCGGTGGAATGCAATGGGACGTGTTCCGGTTATTTTTAGTCAGGCAGATTCGAAAATACACCCACCGCGGATTAAATATAACCGAAGATGCACGCGCGCGGAATGCAGCGGGATGGCACGCGAACGCTCGGTTCGCCGCGCAAATATGCAAATCCCTGTATCGAAAGCGTCATGGTTTGTACACCCTTTCTTTATTTACTTTATTTACCGGTCCCCGGGTTTTCTCGTTTGCTAGTTTCCTTCCACCGGTCTTCGTCTACTTTGTTGCTTTTCCTACGAGTTAGATCATCTCTCATTTTCAGATATTTAAAACGCAATTTCCGTGGGTCCATTTCACTGGAAGATGCATACTCTACATCTTCGTTGAAACGGAAAGCCAAAACAGAAGGCACCATAAGGAGACTCCAAAATGGCATCGAAGAAGAAACGCGATAGGATGGAATTAAAAACAAGAATGAAAATGCAAGAATGAAATTGCGGATGAAATATGAATCATCGCATAGTTGTGCTGCTGCCGTAGCATAACTGCGGTTATTACGGTTTCGGGACGATAAATCAATCCTTGGGGTGGGAAAATGGAAATTGAGGACAGCTGCGAGGATCAAAAACCAAAAATTATACCTGAGGACAAATTGGCCTGGCCTGTGGATTAGGCTCAAGTGGGTGGGAATTTATTTGCATGTAACGTGCCGGTCGGTGACTAACAAGAAAACATGAAAGCGTCGAGACGGTCAATCTCGGCTGATATCACCTAATCGACCTGCAATTTCGTGGGATTCGCCTCCCGGAGGCTCCCTGCTGAGAGGCCGTCCTGCGAATAGTAGGGAATTCCAACGCAGGGTCGTCAAACTAATTTGTTTACCTCCTCGGATACGCCAGCAATGAAATAAAACGGCGTTGATCGAGAAGAAGCCGAAGAGAAATTTGGAGTTCCTCGGGCAAAGTTAATTCGTTTATTTACTCGCCGAGTGGAAGGCGGAAGGGGGTGAAAGTGGTAGCACTTAACACCGGTAGCAGTGACATTCCGCGACTGCCTCTCTGCATCCAGCGGCGCCAAAGTCATCGTCTCCGGCCACTGTTACTGTCACGCACATTTTTATTGGCCCCTAAAATTTACCAATGCGTTCGTCAAAAACACTGCACCTTCCTCGAATAAACAACCGTAGAGTTTGTTACTTTATTAATGTAACCTTTAGGGTGCAACCCTGCTGGACAGCGACAAGCGTTAACAACGTTGGCACAAAACCTCTTGTACAAATATTTCTGAGGAGGATACGGGGGATAAATCGCTTCAGACGGCCTCTATTCATCTTTAATCGTCGCTTGCGTACGAAGCGTCGTTGTCAATTGAAAATGAAAGAGGCGTCGCTTTAAATATCCGTTTTTATTCAATCGTAATTAAAATATAAATAACTCTAACGTCTAAGATACAGCATTATGTACAGTTTCCGGCAGGCTCGTTGCGTGTGGTTATAGTAATAATTTAACGACAATACAAGATACGTATTGATAGATACGCGCCAATCGTGGATACGTATGACCGTGCGCGAATTCAGGAATGTTCTTATGTACAAAGTCGGGTTTTAGAATCGATTGAGACGACGATCACGAGGCGACTCTCTGGGAATGACTCTCGTACCAATCGCTTTTACGTCGCCATTACACACAAGCACGCGCACACTCTTCACCTTTCACTCAGTCATTCATTCTCGATACCCTCTGTCATCCTCGAAGCCTTTCATCTTTAACGGCAACCGCAGCGGTCCGCGATCATGTCCTGATAAACCTTCAGTACGACGTTCTCGTTGTCGTCGAAGAAGAGGATGGTGGTGCCAAGGAGCTTGGTGGGCACGCAGCAAGGTCGCTCGACGTCCTTGGCCAAGCCCATCTTGTGCACGATGCCCTGGATGGTCGCGTGGTTCGTTGGCTGCTGATCTTGGCTGAGAGGCGACTCGCAGATGCCCTTGCAGTGATAGGCTGAGTAGCCCACGGGAGCTATGATCGACGAAGACAATCCTATCTCCTTGAAGTCCACATAGAGCTCGTGCCTCGAGCAGTCGGTGACGTTTTGTTGTACGGACGCGTGGCTCTTCGTTGACCGTTTCTCGCGGCGGTTTTTCACGTGAAGCCTGGATCTCCGGTGACCCGATCCTCCCCTGCGCATCGCCCTTCTATAGATGTCCATCGAGATGAACAGCGCGTCGTTGGAGAATGGATTCTGGTAACCATCGACCAAGGACGTTTCTCTGCGACGACGACCGGAAGCTTTCTGTTCGCCGGGACTTTTCGACTCTTCCCTCTGCGTTCTCTTCTGCCTCTGAAAGAACTCTGACCTGTCTCCGCCCTCCCATCTCGCCTCCTCTGGCTGACTCTTCCGTAGGCTCTTGTCATTATACTCGTTCTTCAGATCAATCTTCTCGTCCTCTTCGTCGTACATCACCTCGCCGCTCTCGTCCTCGTTGTTCCCGTACGCGTAATAGCGGGGGATCATCTTATTGCTCCGATCGCTTCGGCCGTCGTCATCGAATAGCACCAAGATTGGCTGCTTGCTGTGATGGTACTCGTTGCGACGAGAAAATTCCACGTCCACCTGGTCCTCGAACAGGGTGGACGCGGTCACCAGAAGCCCGAGATTAGGCTCGCCGGTCAGCCAGGCTAGCACCGCTTGCTTCACGTTGAAAATCTGAAGAAGAACCGTTTCAATGTTTTGTCCGACACTCGTGCTCTAATCTCCTAGGGTCGACGAAGCTCACCTGCCAGCCGGAGGCGTGTGCCCCGACGTACCGAACGTTCAAGAGTCTGTGTTGGTCCGGGACATCCAGGCTCCTCTCGTCCAGAACTTGGTACACTCTTATCTGAAAAAAAAGAAATGACCAATTAATCATTCTCAGGAACGCTCGCCTGATCTTTTATCGATATTCACCTGATAATAGGCAGATGCTAACGTGGAAGGATGCGCGGTCTTCACCGACGTCCTCTTCCGGTACAGATGAAGCTCCGCTTCTAGGACAGATTCGTTCACCTCCAACCCCGTGATGTTGAAGAAGTAGAATCTTGACATTGACGTATCTGCTGGAAAATGTACGTTGCAGTCAACATGCCTGCAGTGTTGCCCCGAAGAAGCAAGTCATCGTTACCTCTTTCGATGAAGCTGCGGACGACCTTGGCATTGTATGGATTCCTACCGCGCGTGACACCGCTCGAATCGGCCACGTTGTTGTACAACTCCATCATAAACTGCGGGGGCACCTTGCGACGACCCGTTTTCTCAGCATGGCTGCGGATCCCGAGGACCTGTAACGATCTCATCGATGAGCTATCTCTTCAGCCATCGTGTTCCATTCTGATCAGCTGACCTGTTGCAGCTTCTCCAGAGCCTTGTCCCGGAGGGTATTGTGGTCCCCGCCCTGGTCCAGGTCAGCCAGAGACCAAGAACTCTTCGACTCTTGTACGTTGACATCGTGACCCCCATGAGCGTTTAGGGTCCTCGACAGCAGCAGCAGCAACCCCAAGCAAAGGTACGGCACGGTCCTCGTCATCGTCCTATGCTGTCTTAAATCGCTGCTGTCTTAAATCTCCTTGTAGATAGCTCGTAATAGCGTATCGACAACTCTGCCGGCAATTAGTATAACAACCACAACGTGCATCCACCGAACTCACGTAGAGGCAACGGCGATTGTTCTCGCGCGACGGGGCGAAGGAAACTGCGTTCTCGCGAGGAAAGAGAGCGGACACCTTCTCTCCGCTGGCGGACAGGAGGTTTGCCGAACCGAACGGGACGCTAAGTAGCATATGGGAGGTCTTCGCTGCGAGGAGTCACCTTTATGCTATGCCGGGAGTTGCCTCCCTCGCGTTGCTCCCCGCAGCGACATCGGCTTCTCGCACGAGACACGGGAGTTGACGCGACGGTCTCCACCTCCTCAAGGAGGTGGTACACGAATCACCTTGCGATCACACAGCAGTCAACCCTCAGGTCGACCGGGTCTCTGTCTTTTTGACACGGGGATGCAGGAGAAACTCCCTCTCAATGAACCCTTTTAGTGACCTGCAACGGTCGCTGTTTAGAGACAACCGTTTTCTTCGGCTAACGTTTATTATATTCGGTTGCAATGTCAAAATTTCATTGGTCGTTGTCAAACTGATTTGTACACTTAAAAGAGACATTGCAAACCATGGAGTTTTAACGGTGGAATCTTTATCGCTCCAAGTTATTGTTTATCGCTAGTTGTATATGTAAGCTTATCGAGTCTTATACTATAGTCAGTATAGTAGAGTAAGCGATAAGCTGGCTGATTTCAGGGATCGTTCAGGACCCTCCGTAGCGAGCAGAAGCGGAAGAGGAGGGTCACCGGCGCACGATACCTTTTGGAGGCGATGATGACACCGCGATGGGGCTATTAAAAAAAGCTCACGCTTCCTAAATTCCGTGGGATTCGTAAGTGGCGAGTTATGTGGCCCCGCCTGGCGATATTTCGATGTCGCGAATAATCGGTTGTTTTCCTAAGTGGACGATGACGGATCGGCGAGGAGGGTGTCACACTCGGTATTTCTCGCCCACGCTGTGCGCGTGATCCGAAGATCGAGCTCTCGGCGACGACCTCGTTCTTTTTGTTGCATTTACTTTCGTACGGGCGGAGCACGCGGAATGAGAACAACGAATCAGCCGGAGACCGAGCCGTTGTAACTACAAAATTGGCTAGAAGGCAAATTGGCGGCGCCTCTTTTGTACGGGCTCGGTTCCTTGATGTCTTCGCGGCTTGCCAAATTGAATTCTTATTTCTACGGAAAAGACTCCGTGGTCCAGGGAGCTCGGACTCGGGTATGCTGAGACGATTGGGTAGCCAATGACGTTTCTTTTACAAAGTCATCGTATGTTTATTAATCATACCAGTACACGGTGCATATAGGAACATCGAAACGGTACCTCACGGTTTTCGCAGTCAAGCGGAATCGATTCGTTGTTTGCTCTGGTGATTTTTTCGATCTCCTCGTTCCTCTTCGTACCCGTTAAACGCAAGCGCACTGGGTGATTTGAATTATCTCCCTCTTCGATCCTCGACGAGTTCTGAAAACGACCAACGTGAACGCTTTATCCTGCAATCTCCGCGACAAGTCGAGCTAGAAGCGACGCAGGCGTACGCTTGTTTGACCGATCCGATCGAATCGAACGAGAGACTTTCAAGTACCTGTACTCGTGAACTTTGAATCTGGCGGGCGTGCAGGTGTTCTGCTTCCTGTACAAACTAGCTAAGCATCTCGACGGCTCCTTCTTCTCCCGCAGCAAACACATTTCCGTTCCGTTGCCCGGACACGATCCGACGCACTGACCTACGTTAATTTGCTGTAAGAATCAGAGACTATAGATCACTCGCTGAAATTAATACTTGACACTGTTTTGTAGGAACGAGAATAACTTACCCGGATTACTGGCCTGACGTCGGTCGTGTTCGTGCCGTCTTTGATAGCGACCACGCTGAAGTCCAGAACGGTCTCCATATGGTCCATCTTGTGACAGGATCCGGCACAGCCGCACTTCTCGATCATCTGGTACACTTCGTCTCCTAATGCGAACACAGGTTTCAGTCGATTAGTCCGGTGTTCTCCGCGAATGGATTTTAAAACTAATCTTTTCTAGGTATTTTCATTGGAAACTACGGATGCCGAGATAACGAGCTAGAACGAACTCCTCTACGTACCGTTGGGCCCCTTGATGCTAACCGTGCTGTTCCTCATTGGCTTGCATCCGAGATCTTCGGAGAAATTGGCCAAGAATTAATTATCGAGAAGCTAAACTACTGACACGCGTAGAGACACGCCACAAGTACCTTTATCACAGCGACCCATACACACGCCAACGTCTATCGTAGCTTGATGAGGTGTACCAGAATGCACTAAATGTGTCATAGACTCCCGTCTGCAGGACGTGTCCGGTGTACATTCGCATGCTTCGACGACCTCTATCACCCGTACACCTTGGATCGTGGTGAACCTCTCCATTTTCGCGGCCCTAGGACGACAATGGGCCTCTTGGGAGCATCTCTAGAATAAAAATCATTAGAAGAGATAAGGAGAAAAGAAAAGGTCCGCGGAAGAAAAAGAGGGTGTAAGAAGAGAGGTACGGAGAAATTGGCTGTATTTCTCTGCATTGATTTGCAATGTCCACCCAGGATTTATAATAATCGCGGGGCGTGTTAATCTCCTGTTAAGATCCTCTTCGGTACTTGATTTCGTTCGCGCGCGCACGCGGGCCATTTAATTATCCTCGCTGCGGGATAACCGACCGTTATCTTTCTCCGTGCAGGACCTCGGATCCTCTCCATGCTATTTCTGGCTACGAATATTTTCTAATAAATTCCGTTCGCCGGCATCATCCATCGCCGTCTCGCCGGGTCCCAGGAACACAATTCGGGATTTAGTAGCTGGCCAGGCCGGCGCCGGATCGGTGACCCGGCACGACACGACCTTCCAAGGACGCAAAACACATCCTCTCCGGTCTGCATATCCCGTGCAGAAAACGTTTCTTGCATCGCGCAGCTTGTTCCTCTCCCGCGGCGTGGGTGCTGCAAGATCGTAAACCACCGATCCGGTTGCATCACGTGACCAAAATAGCACACCACACCGGGTCGGGCAAAAGTGCTCTAGTCATCGAATCGTTCGCCCGCTCGTCTAATCGATGGACGATCGATCCTTCGATCGGCTATCGACGGTAGGCTCGTGGTAGCCGTGCACCGATCTTATCTCTGCTGATGCCGGTACCTCTTTGAAATATAAGACACAAGTCCACGCAAGTATTCGCTCATTTTCTATGGGAGCGCTTTTTCTAACGTTAACGGTAGCAGGGCGGCAGGATCTCGAAACGGCAGACTTCGAAGCATCATTGATTTCTGGAGAACGTTAGGAGAAAATTTATTAATCTTATATAGGCAAAATCGTGAGAGTTTTTTGGTCTTTTGGTACGTGTTATGTCGATCTAGGGTGGGTCAACGTCCTCCGACGAATTTCGGTCGAGTGAAGAATGTAAAATGTGCATAATCATCGTGTGGAGGATGCGGCGGCGATGCCTTGCGCGGGGTGCACTCGCCGTAAAAGTCGCGAAGATCGTACGATCGCGCGATGCTGGCGTGGCCGCATTCCAGCTGGCGGATTGGTCGATCCCATGCGTCATAAATCTACATGACGTTCGTGCTTTTTTTCGCCCTTCGCGTAGCCCTTGGCACACGTAACCCGCCGTGCGTGCGGTGTCCTTTTTCGTTTCACAAATTCGAAGTCCCCTTCTTTGCTCTCGCCGGAATTTCTCCTTCGATCTCCGCTCTCTCCCCGGTGCCAGACTCGATCGTGATCGAAAGACCTTCGTGAGATCGTTACCAAAACCTCGGACGCAAAATCTTTTCGACGTCGTATCTTTCTTGGATCACGATTCGACAAACTTTTGCGAGCTTTTTGTCCTTTAAAACGAGTTAACTGGATCTTGCACCTGGTACATCCCGTCTGCACGAGTCGCGTTGCTCTGGATCTGCATTCCCGTAGAACAGTCTCCGCGATGAAATACCAACTCCTCGATGATGCTTCGAGCGATTACGTATTGGTTCCAATGTCTTTTTCGACTTGAAGATAATGTCCCGATGCGTCTAATCTCCAGTCTAATAATTGCAAAACTAGGGGCGGGGGGTTCTTTTACGTATATTGGCCCTCGTGCTGTGGGAGCCATTTTTATCTATTTGTTGTCCCCTTGTCGGTTCGATATAGCTATTGTCAAGAGCAATTTGCGATGAATGTGCGACCCCAGCCTTTTGTTTTACCGCGATTATTCACTGAACGATTTAACCCAGACCTAGCACAGCACGCTATTGTCTGTCCGCCCGACCCCCCTCCCCCTCCCAATCCCACTATTACTATAATATGAACAATCGTCAGAAATGGAGCAAGCGCTTGGGAATCTTGAGAAGTTGAATTTTAGCCGTCGAATTCTAGCCCTTCTCCAGATTCTAAGAGAGATTCTATCAGGTAGCCGAAGCATATGTAAGATTTTCATCTCTTCCTTTTCTAGCTCACAAAACTTCGGATCATTGCGAGGAGGGGGTCTTACCGAAATGGTCGAAAGCCTCCACCGATCAAAAACTACCTTGGCTAGCTAAAATTTACCTGAACCACAGGTCGGCTGGCGTCTCCAGGATCGTCCAGAGTGTGTCTCGGACAGAGCTTGCGGCAGTGTCCGGCGTTGATTTGGATTACCTCGCCCGATATTCCTGGAACGCGACGGGATCGGTTATTTGCAGGGTGTCGCACCGCGAGGCGAAGTTCAATGAAATGTTTTCGAAGCTGGCCCGCTCGCTCGCATGTTTGTTGCAGCAGCATCGAAGGAATGTGACGCGTGTAAATCGGTTGGCGCCGCCGGTAATCGCCGCGCGAAATTTACGGGTTTGTATCGCGCGGTTGAACGTTGACAGAAGACATAAGAAGAAGAGGGTGCCTATAGGTGTAACCGATGCTATTTTTGGCCCGAGCGCGTGGGACAAGCGGAATGCCAGGACCCCGGGTTTCTGATTCACGTTACATGTCCCGCTGTTTTCACGCACCCTCGCCTTTCCGCGTTTCTACGTATAAATGGCATTCGTCGGCGATCCTTTCACGGCCGTGCAAACTAAATCGCTATGGACTGCGCCCGGAGGGCGTGATTATACCAGATGTGTCGGTCATACCCGCTTAACTGACAATTGATTAACGAAGGGCGGTTGTTCCGTTTCGCAGAACAGTTTGCTTCGGCGAACCGCTGATTCCTCCTCGATCGCTGCGATCGGCATTCCACGAACCCTGTCCCTTTGATCGGCCGCGCTAATTGATCTCTATGGGACGGCGAATCGAATTGAATCGCGAATGAGATTGATCGGCTCTGCCCGTTCCCACCGTTTTCACTCGCTAGAAACTCGTAGGAAATCCTGCTCCGATTTCAACTGATTTCAAAACAATCAAATTGTTTCCGGTTAGTTGATTTTGGTGTAAGGTAGAATGCGTCGTGTGTGTGTGTGTGTGTGTGTGTGTGTGTGTATGTGTG